ATACCCCTTTGAGCTATCGCCCCTGATTTAAATCAATTCATGAACAAGATTTGTTTTTGTTGTTGTTGTTGTTTTAATAATGTCAGTAGTGGGGTTGGAGAGATAGCACAGCTGGTAGGATGCTTGCCTTGCATGTGACTTACCCAGGTGTGATCACCAGTATGCCATATGGTCCACCAAGCACTACTAGGAGTGATCCCTGAGCACAGAGCTAGGTGTAAGCCTTAAGCACTGCTAGGTATAGCCAAAAATGACGACAACAACAACAAATGTAAGGAGTGGATCCCCATTTTCAAAAGAAATCGTACAGAGAGCTGGCATCTTACATAGGACCTTAGAACATGAAGGTGGAGGAGCAAGAGATAGTATAATGAGGAGGGAATTTGTTTTGCAAAAGACCGACCCAATTTTGATCCCTGGCACTGTACATGGCCCCGAGTACTGCCGAGAGTAGTATTTAAGTACAGAATAAAGCCTTGAGCACTGCCAGGTATGGTCCCAAGACAAAACAAGATGAAGGTAGAGCTTGGCTGGGTTGGAGAATCTGGGCCTGAGCTCCCTGGCCCATCCTTCTCATCTGTCCACCACCATCTTAGACGCTGGTAGGTATTTTTACAAGCCAATCAGCTAACTGCAGTTCCCAGACTTCAGTTTATAGTGGAGAAACGAAGACCTAGGAAAAACAGGGGCTTTAACCAACCAAGACCACAAGTGGCAAGAATATGAGGCTAGACTTTAGCACTCTGACACACTGCACACCTTGGTTTGGTTTTGCAGAGTCCTCTCCAGTGGGTTCATTTAAACTTTTTTTTTTCTTTTTGGGTCACACCTGGCTCTGCTCTCAGGAATTACCCCTGGCGGTACTCAGGGAACCATATGGGATGCTGGGAATCGAACCTGGGTCAGCCGCGTGCAAGGCAAACGCCCTACCCGCTGTGCTATCGCTCCAGCCCCCATTTAAACTTTTAAGTTCCCTGAAGTGTTGAGAATCTATCTCCAGTTGAAAAATTTCTATTCTGACACAAACGTATTTAGATCAATAACATGTGCCTTCACGGGGGAAAAGAACAGGGGACAGAAGGAATTAATGAGGAAAGTGGAACCCTGCCCACATTTCAAACAGGCTCACTTCCAGCAGGCTAACACCAGGGAGCAGGAGCTGCCAAGGGGCAACTGAATCTGGGCAACATGGCATAACCATGGAAAGCATTCAGGGTGTCCTTGAGATGGTCAGAGTCTCACTTTGTAACCGTGGCAACCTGGGATGTAGGCCAAATGTGCTCGTGTTCTTGAGGGGGTCCAGACCCTGCTTTGCAAAATAACATGTTTGGAAATTTCCTCTTCTGCACTCTTTTGCCAGCTGCTGCAAATACCCCATATCCTATTAGTCTGTAAAGCAGCTCTCACCTTTGTTCAGGGCCCAGTCTTTGGAGCAGGAGCTCTGCTGAGTCCATTGGAGTACTTAAAACTGAGTACTCTCACTTCTCAGAGTACGATGCTTGATTTCTTTGGTGGCCCTTGGTAAGAACTTCCACCACAGGAGTAGGGCATTGATGAAAAGGAACACCAAGAAAGTCACACATTGGTGAAAAGTAACAAAAAAGAAAATTATCACGACCCACAATTATTGAGGGAAAATTTAAAATTTTATTTAGTTAAATTAAGTTTTTACATTTTAAGACTGGCAAGCTACCCGTGACGTATTCAATATGCCAAACACAGTAACAACAAATCTCACAATGTTACTGGACCCACTTGAGCAAATCGATGAACAATGGGAGGACAGTGACAATGACAGTGACATTTTAAGAATAATACATGGGGGCCAAGAGAGATAGTACAGGAGATAAGGTCCTTGTCTTGCAAGTGATCAGCCACAGTTCAAATCATCAGCACCATAAAATAGTTTCCCAAGAACCACCAGTGGCCACTCCTGAGCACAGAGCCTGGAACAGACCTAGCTCATTGTGAGGTGTGTGCCCCACAAAAGAAATCAAACTTAAAAAAAAAAATTAAAAGAAATCATGTCCAGGCCAGAGTAATAGTTCAAAGGGCTGGAGTACAATGCTTTGCATGCAGGAAGCCCAGGTCCTATCCTACCTAGCACAGAGGCATGAGTAGCCCTCACCCCAGCACTGACAAGCCTAAAAACAAAACAAAACTAAAAAATGGAGGAGGAGGAGGAGAAAAGAAAGCTTATCAAAGAAACTCATTTGCACTTGCAAATATGCTCCAAACAACTTGAGTGGAGCCAAGAGATAGTACAGGGAGTGAGACTTATACTCACACTCAGGCCTGGTTTGATCCCCAGTACTACAAATGTGCTTGGGAGCACAGACCCAAATCCTGAGCATTGCTGACTTGGCCCAAATCCTCTGGTTTCCACTCCTAACCTCACCCCCCAAAAAAAACCAATCTGAGAAGACTCTTGGAGAAAAATTTGGTTTTGTTGTTCTTGTTTCGGAGAAGAGCAAGTATTGAGGATTTTCTCATATTAGTGCTGCTCAGATTCAGCCACACTATTTTGCTGTCCCCAAGCCTCGGACTGCTGTAACAGGTTGGGGGAAAGATGGGGGGAGGGGGGTTCAGAAGAAATAGCTCATCTCCTGAAAAGAAGTCCCACCTCCCCCAGTAAGATCTTTCTGTGCTAGAAGTATGGAAGATTATCCCAGGTGCTTCCTTTATGCATATTACTTGCCCTCTGTACTTTTTTTGTGGATGGGAGATCAAATCCACATATGCAAAGTACGTGCTATTACTGAGTTACTTCTCTCTGTACCTTCAAGAGGGGAGTAGGCTCAGGGAAATTTCTGATTCTACAGTCCTTTTGACTCTGCACTTCTACGTCTGGGACTTTGAAACTAAGACCCAACCCATAAACTGCATATGATTTAAAGCTGGTCCCAGAAAATGGGGCCAGAACTGCTAGTTAATCCCTGTGGCCTCTGGGGTGGGAGAGACAGTACAGAGGGCAGGGCTTGCCTTGAACACGGCCAATCTGGGTTGAATCCCTGGCACTTCATATGATCTCTTGAACCCTGCCAGGAGTGATCCCTGAGCATAGAGCCTGAACACCTCCTGATGTGGCCCAAAAACCTAATTATAAAAAATATGAGCCCACATAACAAGCAATATAAAATAAATTATTGTGGTCCTGCTACAGGGGCAGGCTTGAGGGGTAACTGGAAAAACGGAGACAATGGTGGAGGAAAGGTGACAGTGAAAAGGTAGAAAGGTAGAAAGGTAGAATTGGTGTTGGAATAGTGAATGCCTGTAGCAAATCTTCATGAACAGCCTGTAAACCACGGTTTTTAAATACAGTGGGAAGGTAAAGGTAAAGGTAAAGGCCCTCCCGTTGATCGTCGATTTGCTCGAGCGGGCCCAGTAACATCTCCATTGGAGACTTTGTTGTTACTGTGTCTGGCATATCGAATACTCTCGGTAGCTTGCCGGGCTCTCCGAGAGGGGCGGAGGAATCGAACTCGGGTCGGCCATGTTGGCCGCTTGTAAGGCGAACGCCCTACCCGCTGTGCTATCGCTCCAGCCCAGTGGGAAAAAAAATCAAATTAGGGGCCGGAGCAATATCACAGCGGGTAGGGCATTTGCCTTGCACGCGGTTGACCTGGGTTCAATCCTCAGCATCCCATATGGTCCCCTGAGCATCGCCAGGAGTAATTCCTGAGTGCAGAGCCAGGAGTAACCCCTGAGCATTGCTGGGTGTGACCCAAAAAAGAAAAAAAAAATTAAAAAAAAAAATAGAAAGTCCACAAATTGTCCTACCAACTGAGCCCAGTGGTGTATGGGTCAGGATTTCTTTTCCTTTTTTCCCTTTTATGGGGATTTCTAACAGCTCCAAGTGCCAGGCAGCGGGTGCAGGAGCTTCTTAGCTGAAACTGGCACTGCCCTTATCACCTCCTTCATTCCCTCCCACCCGCGCTTCCCAGCAAAGGGAACAAAAAACAACCCCCGCCCCTCCAAGTCGTTCTTCCTAGGGCTGAGTTGAGGTGACCCGCGGGGGCAGGGGATAACGACCTCTAGGAGAGGACACGTGAAATTGCCAAATGGGACAGTTCTTGGTTTTGTTCTAGCATCTTCTTTGGGCAACATTTGGGGTCGTTTTTCACACTGTGGACTGGCCTGAACGCAGAAATGAAACTCGAGAAACCCACCGGGCCCCTGGGGGTGCCGGGTCAGAGCTGAAGGGGGGCCGATGGCGACCGCGGGGCGCGGCGAGCACGAGGCCGGGGGGGGGGGGGGTAGCGAGAAGATGGGGGTGGGGGGGGGGCCCGAAACCAGCCAGGCTCGGGGCCGCGTCTCCCCGTTACTCTCTGAGGCTGACCTGATCCGGTGCGTCGCCTCTCGATAAGGGACAGGGCGGGAGCTCCTTTCCTTGCCGAAACCACAACTGTGGCACGTTTCTTTGCGAACAAACTCTGGGGGCGGGGGAGGGGGTGTGAGGGGCGTGTGAGGGAGTATCGGTTGCCCCAGACGCCAGTTCGCTGTTCCCTCAGGAAAATGCAGCTAGGATTTTCCCCGACCCGTGTCTCCCATTCGAAACACTTCAGGACACTGGAGGGTTTTCAGGTTTCGGGGACCCGACCTAAGCTAACGGCTCCTCAGAGTCTAACGCTCCTCCTCCAGGAGGCCCCTCAGAAAAACCCCCTCTCCCGCTACCTCAGTGCGCCTCCCCGGGGTAACTGCGCGAGCCGGAACAAACCGGCGCTGATCATTGGCCAGACTCCTTGTCTCTCTCTCCCCGAGGGCTGCCAGTGGTGCCTTTTTGAAAACTTTCTAGTCCCGCCTCCCCATCTAATTGGCTAACTCGAACAGGCTGGTCGAAACGGCACTCTTTCAGTGGCTATGAGAGACCAGTTGTGATTGGTTCTGCGGGACGGAGCCTATGAGCACGGGCCGGGGATTGGCTTAGAGATTTCGGGCGGGCTAGACGAAGGTCCAAAAGGAACCCTAGTCGCTCGCCTAACCGACGAGTCTGCGGAGAAGCGGCTTGTTCCGTGATCCGTCTCGCGGGTCCCGCCGGTGTAGTCGCTTGCAGGGTTCTCGAGCCCCTTCACGGCCCGTCACCATGGAGGTGTCACCCCTGCAGGTACGGCTCGCGGAAGGGGCCGGGCTGTGGAGCCTCAGCGCGGCCGGTCGTCTCTGGGGCTGCGGCTGAGAGGAGGGGAGGCCCCGGCAACTGTGATGCGCGGCCGCGGCGGCGCGGGGCCTCGTTTCCCCTGAGGAGAGGGAACCCCGCTGAGGGCACCGCTATTGAAGTCTGGGGTGGGGGGGGGGGGACGAAAGTGACTTCCGGGGAGCCGCGGTTCGTTTGTTATTTCTAGGGTCGCCCTGTGGTGGATGGCGGCGATAGGCTCAGCTTCTCGGGGTGTGTGGAGGCGGGGGCAGGGGGGGCTTTCCGAGTGAGGAGAGCGACTTGGAGGAGGGCGCTGACCTTGGAGGGGACCGAGCCTGCACGCGGTCCTTGACGGCCGGCGGACGCTAGGTGTCTGTTTGTCTGTCCCCTCCCGGGGCCCAAAAACGTTAACGCAGCCGGAGGGTGGGTCCCCGCTGCCCCCTCAAACCGCTGCGGCTAGAATCGAGTGTGTGCGCGGGACCGAGGCGGCGCGGTGTCTTGCGTAGCCGGGAGAAGTGGGCACCCCCCACCCCCACCCCCACCCCGCCCGCTCCCAGGGAACCCCCGCCCCCCGCCCCGCCGGTTTCTGAACCCGAAGGTGGGGGTGGGGGAGGGGGACTCGGAGGTCCGGTGCATTCAGGTCAGCCCCCGCGGGGTGCAGGATGGTGGCCTCTGCGGATCGTTAAGGTCGGGGTGGGTGGGGGGAGTAGTATTTCTAGTTTCTGCTGAACCTCTGCTATAAAAAAAAAATTGCTTTTTCTTTAAAAACTTGCTAGCCTGTGGATGAAAATATGCAGATCAGCAAGACCAAGAAAAATGACGATGCCAAGAAAAGATTGTCCATTGAAAGAATCTATCAAAAGAAAACGCAACTGGAGCATATTTTGCTCCGGCCAGACACGTACATTGGCTCCGTGGAGCTCGTGACCCAGGTAAAAAGCCCCGCTCGGGAATTGCACTTAATTTGGGTTGAGATCCCTGAGTGCCCATGTGTGCTTTTTTTTTCCCTGTTCTCATTTTCTCTGCTTTGCGCGCGGCTCCATGAGAACTGACCTCAGCTAGCCAGTCCGTGAAACAGCTTCCATACACCGATCATGTAATAATAAAACAGAATTGCTGGAGGGTAGATGGGATAGTTTTCTTTGCCTGTTGCCAGTGAATGTGGCTTTGTGAAGAAAGTCTGGGCACCCGCTACAGGGACGCCCCTCTGTTCCTGGCTTGTACAGAAGTGATCAGAATAATAGGATGAATGCTGCGGGAAAGTAAAGTAATGTGTTTCTTTGCCTTATTTCTAGCAAATGTGGGTTTACGATGAAGACGTTGGCATCAACTACAGGGAAGTCACTTTTGTTCCTGGCTTGTACAAAATCTTTGATGAGATTCTAGGTAAGTTCTAGCACCTAAAGATCAACTTGTCAAATCCTTCCAGTGAAGGCTCATTTCTAGCAAACCTGGAGCTCCTTTCATTTCAAACAATAGCAGGCCAAGGTTGAGGCTGTCAACTGGAGCCTAGGGACTCAAATTGTTTTTTTTCAAGTCAGTAGCACTGGAGCACTGTCCTCCCCATCGATTTGCTCCAGCAGGCACAGGTAAAGTCTCACAACAAATTGTGAGACTTGTTGTTACTGTTTTGGCATTTCGAATATGTCATGGTTAGCTTCCCAGGCTTTGCTGCGCGGATAGTTTGCTGGGCTCTCCCAGAGGGGCAGAGGAATTGAACTCGGGTCTGCCTCACAAGGCAAACGCCAGCACTGTGCTATCGCTTCCCGAGATGTGGCTCAAGAATAAACTAACGCTCATGTCTTGCATGTATGAGTTCTGGGTTTATGTTTTTGTTATTGTTTTCATTTGGGGTGTTTTGGGGGGCATGGTTTTTTTTGTTTGTTTGGGGACTTTTTTTTTTTTTTTTTGCTTTTTGGGTCACACCCAGTGATGCTCAGGGGCTACTCCTGGCTCTGCACTCAGGAATTACTCCCAGCGGTGCTTCGGGAACCATATGGGATGCTGGGGATTAGAATTCAGGTCTGCGTCAAGGCAAACACCCTACCTGCTGTACTATCGTTCTGGCCTCTGAGCACTGGGTCAAGGCAAACACCCTACCTGCTGTACTATCGTTCTGGCCTCCGAGCACTGGGTTTAATCCTAGGAGCTACCCCCACCACCCCACCCCCAAGAAAAGCTAAATTAAGATTTTTTTAATGCAGCTTTGTGCTGTTTCTCTAAATTTTTTTTTAATACTCCAGTTTTTTAGAAGTGTGTGTTTTACTTTCTTTCAGTTAATGCTGCAGACAACAAGCAAAGGGACCCAAAAATGTCTTGCATTAGAGTCACAATTGACCCGTAAGTCTCCTGCTCAGTCTTGTTATTGTTCATTGTATTATTACTTACATTTACTTTGTTATATAGTGAAGTTGATCTTTTTTTAAAAGTGAAATTTTGTAAAGTTTAGAAAGGTTGAATACTAAAAAGAACAATTCTGTGATACCTGCCACCTAGATCTAACAGTTACCAGACTCTTTAATATATTTGCTCTGTCTATATTTTTAATCATTTCATAGTAAATTATCATTATTATACTTCATCCCTCTGATAAGTATCTCCAATAAATGCCCTAGGTATTTAAGAATCTAGAGCTGCTTTCTAATGTTATTCAAGTAGTAAACCAGCAGGTGGTGATAAAGATCAATTTGATGTTTCAAATATATTTCTGGTCATAAATGCTGAGTGCTCCTTAATTGGGTTGTCCGGATGCTTCTTTGACTTCTATCATTCATTAGATGAGCTAGATCTTCGGCTATTTTAGGAGAAATCTAACTATTATTGGTGTACTTGAATTGTCCCAAGGATTTGAATATCATTTATCCTTGGGGATAATGTTGGACCACTCCTAACTCTGCACTCTGGAATTATTCCTAGTGGCACTTGGGGGACCATATGGGTGCTGGGGAATCAGACCACATGCAAAGCCTTACTACTCACTGTACTATCGCCACAGCCCTATGGACTTGTTATAATATTCTTTTAAGGAATATTGATGGGGGGTGCTAGAGAGACAGGACAGTGCATCGGGTAATTGTCCTACACAAATCAACCCAGGCTCAATCCCCAGCACTGCATATGGTCCCTCAAGCCCAGCCAGAAGTGATCACTGATCACTACCAGGTATCACCAAACCCGCAAAGAAAGAATATTGATGAGTGAAGAGATAAATAGTACAGGGGTTTTAGGAGCTTTCCTTATATGGGGCAACTCTGCCCCCAACATCATATATGGTTCCCTGACCACAGCTGGCTATGGCACAACCCCTTCATACCTCCAACAAAAATTGTTTAACCTGAGAGATAGTACAGATACTACCTTGCATGTAGCCAACCCAGGTTTGATTCCCCCCAGTACTCCACAAAGGCCCCTAGGCACTGCTGCATGTGGCCCTCCCCAAAAAAGAAAGGAAAAATTATTAAGGGCCAGAGCAATAGCACAACAGGTAGGGCACTTGCCTTGCATGTGACCAACCCCAGTTTGATTCTGACATCCCATATGGACCTCTGAGCCCTGTCAGGAATAATGCCTGAGTGCAGACAGGAGTCACTCCAAGCATCGGCGAGGCTGACCTAAATACTATAAAAAGGCGGGGGTGAGGACAGGCTACTTTTAATTTTGACGCAGGAGGGAAGGACCACACCTAGTTATGGTCAGGGTTTACTGGCTTACCCTTGGCTCTTCTCACATCACTCCTGTCAGGGCTTAGGGAACCCATGTGTGGTTCAAGAAAGGCATAGCACCAAACCAGCTATACTATCTCTCTGGCCCCTCAATGTCATTAACAAATACTATCTATAATCTGAACCATAGTGCATAGTGCAGATAAAATACATAATCATCTATATATTCTTCAGATTAACATAAAATGACTAAGTTCAAGTTTTTGCACTTTATTAACAGGAAAAGAAGTTCTGTAATTGATGTTTTGCCCTTTTATATTTGATTTGCAATGTATTTTGCTGACTGGAAAAGCTAGGATTATATAGATTATCCTCTGATGGTTGGTATAACAGGGGCTAGAGTGATAGCACAGTGGAGAGGGCGTTTGCCTCGCATGCAGCCAACCTGGATTCATCCCTAGCATCCCATATGGTCCCCTGAGCACTGCCAGGAGTTATTCCTGAGTGATATCGCGGGGTGTGACTCAAAAAAACAAACAAAAAAAATGGTATAACAAGAACCTGGGTTGTAACTCAGTAGTTGAGCATTTGCCTTGCATGTGTGAGGTTCTAGTTTTTATCCCAGGCCCTGCGTAAGTAAATAAATAAATAAATATGTAAGTAAATAAAATCAATATAATACTATTTCCAAAGTTTGTACTTTGGACATAATCATTTTTCCCATTTCCTAACATTTTAAACTTTCATATTTTTTCACCATTATGTGTCTGCCCATGTGTCAACAAAGCTTTATTTTATTTATTTATTTATTTATTTTAAGTTTTTGAGCCACACCTATCAATGATCAGTTGTTACTCCTAATCAGTTGTTACTCAGGAATCACTTCTGGCACTGCTTGGGGGATCATATAGAATGCCGCGGATTGAAACTGGATTGGTCACATGTGAGGCAAGCAGCCTACCTGCTGTTATTATCTCTCTGGTCCCAATAAAGGATTACTTTTTAATTTTTGCATCTATTTCAGGAACTATGCATGGTAGGAAAAGTAGTTGATTCTGAATTTCAGAACGTATATAAAAAAATCAAAGAAATTAACACTTGTAAATTTATATATTTTAGAAATAAGTGATGGTTCTAACTATTTTAATACATTTTAATTTAGAAATATGCTTCTAAGTATTTAAAGATAGATGTTAAGTATTTGTTTAATGTGTGTTATAATAAAACTTTCCACCTTTTGTTAGAGAAAACAATTTAATTAGTATATGGAATAATGGAAAAGGTATTCCTGTTGTTGAACACAAAGTTGAGAAGATGTATGTCCCAGCTCTCATCTTCGGACAGCTCCTAACTTCTAGCAACTATGACGATGATGAGAAGAAAGTAACAGGTAAAGTACTAAGTGAAACTACATAATTGTTGTGTCTTGTATATACAAGGTATAAGGTATATATTCGATCACTGAGTCACATCCCCAGCTCCTAAATGCATTGTTTTGTTTTATGGAAGGGGCTCCTAAGCAATCCCCAAAGGGTTCCAGGGCCACTTCTAGCAACCTAGCTAGATAGTTCAGTGTTTGGGTCCTGCAGTGTTGCGGGGTGCTGTCATGCAGTACAGATCAGACTCAGGTCCTTGCACACCCCTGTCCCTTGAGTTATCTCCCCTACCACCTAAATACATATTTTATGTCTTCTTTGAAGCCACACTGGCAGTGCTCAGGGGCTACTCCTTGCTTTGTACTCAGGGAGACCATGCAATGCCAGCATGCTCCCAGCCCACTGAGTTATTTACACATCTCCCAATTAAGCTTTTGTTTTTGGACCACACAGGCAATGCTCAGGGTTACTCCTGGGTCTGTACCCAGTAATCCATCCTGGTGGGCTTGAGGGACCACATGGGATGCTGGCAGCATTTAGTGATTATTCCTGGTTCTACATTCAGGAATCACTCCTGCCAGGGCTCTGGGGACCATATGGGGTGCTGGGGATTGGATCTGTTGAATCTATTTCAGCCACAAGCAAGGCAAGCATTCTACTATATTGTCTACTATATTGTCTGTCTACTACCCTACCCCATATCTATATAATTTTTTTAATGATATGTCTTTAGTATAAAGTTAAAGGTACAGAAAGGGGAAAGGCCATGGATATACAACTCAGTGGTAATGGCACTTCGCATGCATGTATAAGACCATGGCATGGAGCCCTGATAGCACAAAACAACAAAAATGCCAGCACTTTTTGGGCCTGGGATATGTCTCAATAGTAAAGTACATGTATGCATATGAGCAGGGTTTGATCCTCAACACCACCTCCCCCCACACACAGAAGCATAGGACTAAATCCCTATAAAATAACTTAATAATTTTATTAAGAGCTAAAGCTTTGGGCTGGGCATATGACTTAGTGGTAGAAAACTTACCTTCCATGTGTGATGCCTTGGGTTGAATTCCCAGCACTGCTGGTACCCGGAGCACTGCTGGGAGCGACCCCTTAGCACAGCCAGCTATGGCCCAAAAGCTAAAAGAAAAGAAGACTGATACTGAGATTTCAATCAAACAATATCTTGTATTTATTTGCCTAGGTGGCCGAAATGGCTATGGAGCCAAGCTGTGTAATATTTTCAGTACCAAATTTACTGTGGAAACAGCCAGTAGAGAGTACAAGAAAATGTTCAAACAGGCAAGTAAATAAGTGTTGTGTTCCTTAATGATAAGTTACACAATAGTAATTTATAGTACTTAATTTAAAAATTCTTACACCAGAAAATTAATCAGGGATATGTAATGGGTTATTTGCTAAAACTTATCACTTACGTTACTCAGTCCTAACTTGTGATATTTCTTGAGTTTTTTATCTTTCTTATTCTTTATTTCCACAGACATGGATGAATAACATGGGGAAAGCTGGTGACATGGAACTCAAGCCCTTTAGTGGAGAAGATTATACATGTATTACTTTTCAGCCTGATTTGTCTAAGTTTAAAATGCAAAGCCTAGACAAAGATATTGTTGCACTGATGGTTAGAAGAGCATACGATATTGCTGGATCCACTAAAGATGTCAAAGTCTTTCTCAATGGAAATAAGCTACCAGTAGGTACTTTTTGGGTACTATAGACAGTAGGAACTTTGTGATCATTTATTTCGAGGGCTAATTTATTTTTCCCCTCCAATATATTTTGCTTACCATTTCCCACATATGTTTCAGGGGCTATTCAGCACAATGCTGAGGGGTCACTTCCTGCAGTGTGCCAACGCCTCACCACTGGACTAGACTATCTTTCCGGCTACCCAGAGTGCCTTTTTTTTTTTTCTTTTTTTGAGTCACATCAGCGGTGCTCGGGGTTTACTCCTGGCTCTACACTCAGGAATTACTCCTGGCGGTGCTCGGGGGACTATATGGGATGCTGGGAATTGAACCCAGATCCGCTGCATGCAAGGCAAACGCCCTACCCACTGTGCTATAGCTCCAGCCTCCCAGAGTGCCTTTCTTAAATAAACGTTTTTTGGGGGGCTTTTCTTCCTCTTCCCTTCATTGTCGTTGTTGTGACAGCGATGTAGTTGGAGTGTATAATAAGTTATACAATAGTATGCCAGGGGTACTTAGTCGTGGGGAAGTGCTAAGAATCAGAACTGTAGCCTCATAAATGCAAGGCAGACAACTGTCACTGAGACATAACCCTGGGCCTCTTTTGTGCCCTTTTTATTGGGATTGTGCAGGGGCTGAACCAGGCTGTGCTGGAGAGCTATTCTCAGCGCTACACAGGGATCACCTCCAATAGTCTCAGGGGACTCTATAGCTCCAGGGATTAAACCTGTACTTGCCACATGCAAAACATTCACTCAGCCCATCGAGCTATGTCTCTGGCCCCTTTTTGTGCCCTTTCAGAACCATTCTCTTGTGTTCATCAGGCAACACTATGAATTTTTTGAGCTTTTTTGATCCCAAGTGATACTCAAGGGGCCCGAGAGCCATTCTTTGGATATTTGTTCAACCAGGCGGGCATTTTTCAGGGGCCATTGGGAGCACATCCAACAGTGGGGAGGCTGGGGAACTGGGGTGGGGCAGGATGCATGGTGTGCCTGGGAATTGAAGTCTGGTCCTTGGTCTTATAAGTCATATGCGCCAGCCCATTAAGCTAGTTCCTCAGCCTCTAACCCCATTCCATTGTTTTTAAAAAATTCTTATGTCACTGAATATTTTTATATGTTTTAGTGCCTTTTCTTTTTATTCCTATATAGATAAAAGGATTCCGTAGCTATGTGGAAATGTATTTGAAGGATAAGGTAGATGAAACTGGCAATCCATTGAAAGTTATTCACGAACAAGTAAATCACCGGTGGGAAGTGTGCTTAACAATGAGTGAAAAAGGCTTTCAGCAAATTAGCTTCGTCAATAGCATTGCTACTTCCAAGGTAATTTTATTCATAAATTGTCTTGAATTGTAAGGGTGTTTGTTTTCACAGGCTTATATATAGATAAGGAACTCTATGGTCATTTATTTCAAAGGCAAATTTATTTTTCCTCTCCCATATATTTTGCTTACCATTTCCCACATATGTTTCAGGGTCTATTCAGCACAGTTCTGAAGGGTCACTCCCTGCAGTGTGCAAGCACCTCACCCACTGGACTATCTCTCCAGCCACCCAGAAACGCCTTTCTTAAATAATAATTGTGTGTGTGTGTGTGTGTGAGTGTGTGTGTGTGTGTGTGTGTGTGTGTGTGTGCACATAAGTGTGTGTTTGTGTATTATGCATTCTTGGTTTTTCCCCTTTCCTTTGTTGTTGCAATTGCTGGGGGTCACACATGCTCAGTGGTGCTCAGACATTTGGTTGTGGTGCTCATGGAGATCACACGCCTAGTTGTGTGCTCACATTCTGGTTGTAGTATTCCCTGGGGGGGGTGTTGAACTGGCAGTGAACTCAACTGGAGGATGCACCTGTTACTTATAGTGCTCTTACCCTCCTGTCTGTGTGATGCTGGAGACTGTGAGTTCTGTTGCCATACTGGTGGTCCTAAGCAGCAGAGCTACCAAGATTGGTTCCACACTCCACACATATGGATGAACTTACAACCTTATAGCTAGTTAGGCAGCTACTTTTTTCACTGAGCCATCCCCAGACGCACACACCCTACCCTGTTCTTATTGTTTTTAATATAAAATGAACTGGAACTTTAGGCTACAAAGGAAGCTTAATTAGAATTCCTCCTTTATGCTGGGGAATCAAAGCCAGGGCTTCACATATATATGTTACCATTGGGTAACATCCCCTTTTGTAGACTGGATTTTTGGATGTTATACTTTGAGGAACCAGAATTTTACAATCTGATATTTTTTTCTCCTTTAGGGTGGCAGACATGTAGACTATATAGCTGATCAGATTGTGACTAAACTCATTGAAGTTGTCAAGAAGAAAAACAAAGGTGGTATTGCAGTAAAAACACATCAGGTATTGTCTTTTAGCACAATTTTCTCTTTTAGAAGTCAAGAAGGGAAAAGCTATAAATAAGGTGTGAGTATTTAGTGACTTGATGTCATCTTTTATTGCAGGTGAAAAATCACATGTGGATTTTTGTGAATTCTTTAATTGAAAATCCAACCTTTGACTCTCAGACAAAAGAAAACATGACTTTACAAGTCAAGAATTTTGGATCAACATGCCAACTAAGTGAAAAATTCATCAAAGCTGTGAGTAGATAACAGTCAAAGCATGTTATTATTTTTCATTCCTGCAGAATGCTCTTATTCCCCCATGCTTTTACTTGGGGTCTGTAAGGAGGGCGGGGGCACAGCTTATCTCACTTTCTAACTGGGCAGGAAATTAATTACTATCTATTTCCCCCCAGAGCTGGAACGATAGCACAGCCAGTAGGGCATTTGCCTTGCATGCAGCCAACCCAGGTTAGATTCCTCCTTCCCTATCTATCAGAGAGCCCAGCAAGCTCCTGGCCTACTCGATATGCCAAAAACAGTAACACAATAGAGACGTGATTGGTGCCCGCTCGAGCAAATTGATGAACAACGGGAGGACAGTGCTACAGTGCTATTTCCCCTATGTTTTCCTAGTACATATCACCACAGTTTAGATCAGGACTTCTTAAAAATTTTCCTACTCAAAACTGCTTTTTGAGGAGTGGAGCAATAGTACAGTGGGTAGGGCATTTGCCTTGCACGCAGCTGACCCGGGTTCGATTCCCAGCATCCCATATGGTCTCCTGAGCACTGCCAGGGGTAATTCCTGAGTGCAAAGCCAGGAGTAACCCTTATGCATTGCTGGTGTGACCCAAAAAGAAAAAAAAACTGCTTTTTGCTTGAAATTTTTTTATGCTTCCCCATGTGGTATACAAATAAGCAAATCAAATAGCACTATAGCACTGTCCTCCCATTGTTCCATTGATTTTCTCGAGCGGGCACCAGTAACATATCAATTGTGAGACTTGTTACTGTTTTTGGAATATCCGATAACGCCATGGGGAGCTTGCCAGGCTCTGCTGTGTGGGCGGGATACTCTTGGTAGCTTGCCGGGCTCTCCCAGAGGGATGGAAAAATCAAACCCAGGTCAGCCGCGTGCAAGGCAAACGCCCTAACCACTGTGTATTGCTCCAGCCCAAGCAAATCAAATCATCATTTAAAATTTTTGAGTTTTGGGGCTGGAGAGATAGGGTAGGGCATTTGCCTTGCACATGGCCGATCTGGGTTCGATTCCCAGCATCCCATATGGTCCTCTGAGTACCACCAGGAGTAACCCCTGTGCATTGCCAGGTGTGACCCAAAAAGCAAAAAAATAAATAAAATAAAATTTTGGGGTTTTGTTTTTAGTTTCACCAAGGATTCTCAGGATTACTCCTGGCTCTGCCACTCAGGAATTATTCCTGGCAGTGCTCAGGGGACCATATAGGATGCTAGGGATTGAACCCTAGTTCGTGTGCAAAGCAGATACCCTCCCCACTGTACTATGCTCTGTTCCCCTGTTGTTTTTAAATTTTATTGAGCAGTAGCACAGTGGTAGGGTGTTTGCCTTGCGTATGGCTGGACTGGCCGAGCCAGGTTCGATTTCTCCCCCCTCTTTGAGAGCCTGGCAAGCTACCGAGAGTATCTCGCCCTCACGGCAAAGCCTGGCAAGCTACCCATGATGTATTCAATATGCCAAACACAGTAACAACAAGTCTCACAATGGAGACATTACTGGGCCCGCTCAAGCAAATCGATGAACAACGGGAGGACAGTGTGCCAGTGTGCCCTGTTATTTACAATACTCTCAATGATAGTGTTTTATACATACAACTTTCCAACGCCACAGCCTCCATCAGAATGTATATTTCCCTCCTCCTCAGGACATTTTTTATGTCAAAGCCCTCATTTTGTATTTCCTTGGGTGTGGGGAAAACATAGCCACACCCTATAGTATTGAGTTTGGGGGGGGGGGTTGTTTGGGGAGTGTTGGGCCACTATTTGATGCCTGCCATTGAATCCGCATACTTTGTACTCTTTCTCTGGCCCTGAGGCAAGTGCCTTAATTCCCGTACTTTGTCCACCCTCACCTTTCTCTTGAAACCTTTCAGTAATGTCTATTTGGTAAAGTCCAAATTTCTTAGAACTTCCACATCAATTTACTATATCCATTTTCATCATAGTGCCACATTTTCCCAGGTTGCCTAAGTTTCTTTCCTCTGGGCTTTTAGTTAGCTTTAGAACGGTGCTATTCCAGACTCAGCTATTTCACATGCTAACTTTTCAGTCTGAAATGCCTTTTTTGGGGTGGGGGTTTTGATGGGGCCAGGGGATGGGCACACACCCAGGGATTCTCAGGGTTTACTCCTGGCTCTACACTCACGTATCACTGCTGTCTGAACTTGGGCCACCATATGGGGTGTCAGGGATTGAACCTAGGTTTGCCACTTGCACGGCAAACACCCTACCTGCTGTGTCTCCAGCCCCAGGAAATACATTTTTATCTAGCTAATCCTTTAGGTTTTAATTGTCATTTCTTCAGAAAAGTCTTTACTTTCTACTGTCTCTCCTCCCTAATATAAATTTATTCTTGTGTAGCTCTACACGATCAGAGAAACTTCTCTAGTAACATACTATAGAAATGATCCCTGAAAGTATAGTGGGCTGGAGCGATAGCACAGTGGGTAGGGCATTTGCCTTGCATGCGGCCAACATGGCCGACCCGAGTTTGATTCCTCCGCCCCTCTCGGAGAGCCCGGCAAGCTACCGAGAGTATTCGATATGCCAGACACAGTAACAACAAAGTCTCCAATAGAGACGTTGCTGGGCCCGCTCGAGCAAATCGATGATCAACGGGAGGGCCTTTACCTACCATTACCTTTACCTTATGTAGCACTGGGCATTGATTATTAAATATGGCACACTTGCCCTTTATTCATCACACATATATTTTGTTCCTCCTTTGGTGTCAGGGATCAAAGCCTTACACAAATAGGACAAATGCTCTAATACTGAGCTATATCCCTGGCCCCTAATTTCTTATTTCTGTCTTTCCCATTGTTTCTCACAGGAGCCATATCTAATTTGTTTTAACCATGAAACCACCAATATTTTGCCTGGTATAATATAATTGAACACTGAAAACATTTTTATTGAATGAATGAACCCAAATGAACCACTTTCTTCAAGCAGTGATAACTTAGGATGCGTCACTGTCTATCCAGAAATTGTTCTACCTCTCTCCATTTTTTGGATTATATTTATGGGAGTTCATTTGTATTCTAGATTATTAACAATTTCTTCCCTAACAATCTCATTTTCAGGCAACTGGCTGTGGTATTGTAGAAAGCATATTAAACTGGGTTAAGTTTAAGGCCCAGGTCCAGTTAAACAAGAAGTGTTCAGCTGTAAAACATAACAGAATCAAAGGAATTCCTAAACTCGATGATGCCAATGATGCAGGTATATATTTAATATCATGTCCAAACTTTAAGTTTTATACTTCAGTTATTAATTTTATGACAGGAAAAAAACTTAATAATTTGTTTAATATAAAGTTTTACATGACCCTAGAATTTCATTAAAAAATGAAGACCTGGGGCTGGAGTTGATGTCAGTGGGCCCCGTGGGTGACTCTGTGAAGTGGAAAGGAGAAAGACAGTCACTTTCTCCCCATCCACCTCTGCCACCTGGGACCCAGGGTTACTGGGGTCTTTTCTCGCCTTGCAGAAAGGAATTTCAGGAATAGACAAGCAATGAAATAAATAGATTTTATTTGGAGAGTTTTTTAAGGTGTGGCGTGAGAGAGAGCCCCTAGACACATTACATTAGACACGAAAGTATGAAAGTACACATCTCAAGAGGGGAGATGCGGGCGACACGTGCTCAGACGCCACATGTACTCCGCCACATGGGTGCAAGCAGCACGTGGGCTCGGGCAGCATATGCACGCCCTTCCTTTGTTCAATGTGACTTTTATAGGCTCTTTTTGAGTTGTCTTTATCCAGAAATTCTGGAGTCTTCTGGGGCTGAATCACATTTTAATCAGATTAAGGGAGAGGTGCGAGGGTTTGAGCAACTTCATGGGGGGGGTGGATCCAATCTCCTCAGGGTCTGCTGAAGGTCTTATCATGTCTGTTTGTTTGTTTGCTTTTTCTTTTTGGGTCATACCTGGTGATGCGCAGGTGGTTACTCCTGGCAGTGCTCAGGGGACCATATGCTATGCTGAGATTCGAATCCGGGTTGGCCACATGCAAGGCAAGCGCCCTACCTGCTGTGCTATTGCTCCAGCCCCTCACATCTGTTTTTTGTATCCACATGGAGAATCAGTCTTAGGATTTTTCTCCCAGAAGTTCTGTTGACCTAAATTTTATTGCCAAGGGTCTTTCCCTGTCTACCTGCCTACATCAGAGTAATAATAGCACAGCAGGTTGGGCATTGCCTTGCAGATGCCCAGATTCAATCCCTGACATCCTACATAATCCCCCCGAACATTGCCAAAACTAATTCCTGAATGCAGAGCAGGAGTTAACCCCTGGGCATTGCCAGGTGTGGCCCAAAAACAAAGAAAAAAGAAAAGGAAGATTTGGGACTGGAGGTATAGTACAGGGTACTTGCATATGGCCAACCTGGGCTCAATCCCTGGCATCCCATATGAACCCCAAGCACCACCAGGAGTAATTCCGGAGTGCAGAACCAGGAGTAGCCCCTGAGTGTCATTGAGTATGGCCGAAAAACCAAATAACAAAGGAAATGAAGGCCTGAAGGGGTAGTACACGAGAGGTAGTACAGGGGAAAGGGCACTTGCCTTGCATTGCATGTGTCCAACGTGGGTTTGATCCCAGGCACCACATCCTTCAAGCACTGCTGGATATAACCAAAAAATAAAAATAAATAAGAAGAAAGAAAAGGTACACTAAACAAAACCATTAAATCTGAATGGTGGAGGGATAGAGAGTACTGGGTCGTACCCAGCTATGTTCAAGACTTAACTCCTCAGTGTTCCGGGGATCACTCTTGAGCACAGAGCCAGAATTGCTCAAGGGGTGCCAGGGATCAAATCCAGGTAGGCCACTTGTAAGGCAACTACCTTACTATACTATCTCTCCAGCCCCCATTTTCTGCTAACTTTATTAGAGTGTAAAGTTGGGGAAAGATACGATAAAGGTAAAGATCATGAGCTAAGTATAGCAAAAATCTTGGGAAACTTTTAAGCCCTGTCTGTTGATGTTCATTTCTGTGTTTCCTCTGACTGAAATAAGAATGTTCCTTTCCTCCCAGGATAAGGAGGGCACTTCACAGTCTTACAGCCTGGGGGTGGCCATTTTCATTACCACTATTCAAGCTTCTTAAGCTGAAAATATTCAGTATACCTGGGTGCCCTCTTTTTTGGAAGCATCTCTAGAAGTCCCCTAAACAATTTTTTTCCTAGTTTTTTTTTTTTTAATTCCCTCACCCCTTTCCCTTTCCCTTCTCTCCTCCTCCCCACTCTTTTTTTTTTTTTAAGTTCTATTTACTTATTGGGGGTTTTTTTTGGCCACACTCTGGGCTTACTCCTGCACTCAGAAATCACTCCCGGCAGGCTCAGAGGACATCAGGTGCCAGGGATCATACTACCCAGGTTAACCATCTGCAAGGCAAATGCTATACTATTGTTTCAGTCCTTTTTCTTCATTATTGCTGTTGTAGCAATGACCAGGGATTGCACACACCTATATCTATGGTGTTTGCACATGATAATTGTTGTACTCATGGTGGGGTTATGTTGATCACAAACATGCTTGCTAAAGATTGCATTTCGTGGGCTTGGCACTCACTTCTCTTTAGTTACTGATGTCGCATCCCTTTTGGTGGTGCTCACACTCACCAGAATTGCTTGTGGAAGACAGGTAGCAGCAGTGCTGCGCTGCCAAAATCTTACTTAGTGTATGGGAGACCCTGAGGATTTGCACGTGTGACCATAAACTCACTTGGAAGACACGCCTCTACTGTTTGAAGTAAATAATCAAATGAATGTTTGGCAGCAATATAAATATGATAAGTTCATTTCAAAATCAAAGATGTATCAGAGTACCTGTCACTGCCATGCACAACTCCCTGGATTCGATCCCCAACACCAAAAAACCTGGGCCAGTGAGATCGTATAGCTGTCATGACACATGACTTACATGTGGTTTACCAGGTTTGATCCCCTGTACCTCATATAGTCCCCCAAGCCCTGCCAGGGTAATTCCTGAGCTCAGAGCCAGGGGTATGCCCTGAGCACTGCTGGATGTGACCCAAACATTCCCCCTCCAAAAATTTTTTTTTTACTAAAGTATATTGAATTAACTCCATTTTATTCCTAAGTCAATTTTTTGTTTGTTTCTCCTTCCTTTTGTTGCTGCTTCTAAGATTACTGAAGATCACATTTGTTTTGGTGCTTACCTAGAGTCATGAGCTGAAGCGAGGGTAGGGCATTTGCCTTGCATGTGGCTGACCCAGGTTCGATTCTTATGTCCCTCTCAGAAAGCCTGGCAAGCTACCGAAGAGTATCCCATCTGCACAGCAGAGCCTGGCAAGCTCCCTGTGGCATATTTGATATGCCAAAAACAGTAACAAGTCTCAGTGGAAACATTACTGGTACCCACTCTACCAATTCGATGAATAACGGGAGGACAGTGTTACCTAGAGTCATACACTGAGCTGCAGTGCCTGTGTTATGTTCACACATGTTACTCCTCACACATTCTTTTGTTTTGGGGCCACACAAAATTGTGCTTAGGGTTTACTCCTGGCTCTGCTCAAGGATCATTACTGGAGGTGCTTGGGAGAGCATGTGAGGTGCCTGGGATTAAACCCGGGTTTACTGCATATAAGACAAACAACCTTTAAGCCATGCTACAGCTCCAGCCTCGTGTACTCACATTCTGGTTATAATACTCAATAGCACTGCTCTCGTGCTCACTCACATTCACTGTGGGCGTCATACTTCTGATAGCAGTACCCACACATTTATTCTATATTTGACTTCATATGACTTATAAATATGTTTTAATATTTATTTACTTTTATTTTAGGGGGTCGAAACTCCACTGACTGTACACTGATCCTGACTGAAGGAGACTCGGCCAAAACTTTGGCTGTTTCAGGGCTTGGTGTGGTTGGAAGAGACAAATATGGGGTTTTCCCACTTAGAGGAAAAATACTCAATGTTCGAGAAGCCTCTCATAAGCAGGTAGAGTACCAACAGTTTTCTTTAAAATCTGTGGTTTTATAATCAGGATTTCATTTCTTTGTGTGTTTTGTTTCTAAGCCATACCAAGCAGTTCTTGGGGCTTACTCATGACAAAGTTTGGGAGACTATATGAGATGCCAGGGGTTGAACTTGGGTTGGCCTCTAACAAGGCAAGCTCCCTACACGCTGTACTATTCAATGCTCTGGCCAGAGTGTCCATCTTACAGATCTAATTTACTGATGCATAAGCTAATAACGAACTCAAGAAAACCACAATTGTATTGTATTGATTTGATCTCTTCAGGTTTTTAATCTAAACATTACTTTTCAGATCATGGAAAATGCTGAAATTAACAATATCATCAAGATTGTGGGTCTTCAGTACAAGAAAAACTATGAAGATGAAGATTCATTAAAATCTCTTCGTTATGGAAAGATAATGATCATGACAGATCAGGTCGGATTTGTGTTCAACTTATATATCGATATATATGTATTTTTGTTTTGTTTTCCTGCATAAAAGGAGTATTCAGACATAGCTCTTTATTATTTCTGGTCAACCTTTAATATCTTATGCTTATATCCTATGTTATCTATATAGACTTTGATCCCTGACATCCCAAAGTGAGTCTGATTTGACTAGCCTTTTCTCCCCCCATGGTAAGATTTTTGAGAAATTAGCAATCATGTTTTCAGTTTCTAAACATTTTTTTTTTGTCGCTTTTGAAATATATTTAGGATCAAGACGGTTCCCACATTAAAGGCTTATTGATTAATTTTATCCATCACAATTGGCCCTCTCTTCTACGTCATCGTTTTCTGGAAGAATTTATCACACCCATTGTAAAGGTATACTAATTCCTAAAGTACCATATGAATATTTTTTAAGGCCCTATTCCTCAACCCTGGACCTGTATAATTTCAGTATTGTTTGGAGGTTGACGGGGGGGACTGACCTAGCAGTGTACAAAAGTACAGCAAGGCGTTCTTTTTCACAGGTGTCTAAAAACAAGCAAGAAATATCATTTTATAGCCTCCCTGAATTTGAAGAATGGAAAAGTTCTAATCCAAATCATAGAAAATGGAAAGTCAAGTATTACAAAGGTTTGTAGTAAAACCCATATAGAACTTCTTGTTATATACCTTTGTTCAGGATTCTAAAAAGTAACTTGGTATTCTCTGCTTTGAAGGTTTGGGCACCAGTACATCAAAAGAAGCTAAAGAATATTTCTCAGATATGAAAAGACATCGCATCCAATTCAAATATTCTGGACCTGAAGATGATGCTGCCATCAGCCTGGTGAATTGAAATTGCATTTTATACACATGCATTCTTATTTTAGAAATCACCATTTTAGCTAGTCGACTGAAATATTTTCATTTTTATAGAACTGTTTTTAAGTTAACATACCCCCCAAAAAGGAACTTGCATTTTAGAACATGGAATTTTTGTTCTTTTTCATGGAAGAGATTTTCTTGGAGGTTATCTAATTCTACTATCATCTTTGTCATCTTCTCATTTCTAGGCCTTTAGCAAAAAACAAACAGATGATCGGAAGGAATGGTTAACTCATTTCATGGAAGATAGAAGGCAGCGAAAGTTACTTGGTCTTCCTGAGGTAAAAGTTTTAAGTATATCACAGAAAACATGCTGCTTACTGATCTTTTAGAATTAATAGCAAATTAACAGTATTAAATAGTTGGTCACATAAAATATTTTTTTGGACTTCTATATAAATATGTTGGGGACCGAGAGGAAATTACAAAGACAGTGCACTTATTTTCTGATTGTACAGCAATTAAATTATCTTTATCATTAAAATATAGAATAGTAGGACCCTATATCATCCCCTGAGCACTACAGAGTGGGACCCCACCACCCCAGAAAAAAAATACAAACTACTTCTATATAATTATTTGTATGTGGCCAAAGCAGTAGTAGAGTGGTGGGAAGGTTTTGATCCCTGACATCCCAAAATGGTCCCCCAGGAATGATTCCTGAATGTACAGTCAGGAGTAAGCCCTGAGCATCGCTGGGTATGACCACCCCCCACCAAAAAAAAAAAGAAAGATTATATGTTTAAGATGTTCAAGAACTATAGCTCAATCTTCAGTATTTCTCACATCACTCTTATCCCTGTACCCCACTATCACTAAGTTGTGTCCCTGATGGCCTCTGGAATCAGTGGATTGAATATCACTGGGGAACACCCCCCCAAAAAACTTAATAGAAATAATACTTCTTTTTTTTTTTGTATTAAGCTTATATTAAGACCATTGATCCCTTTTTCTTTTGTGGATCATCTAATGCTCTTTTTGCTTCCACAGGATTACTTGTATGGACAAACTACCACATATCTGACATATAATGACTTCATAAACAAGGAACTTATTCTTTTTTCAAATTCTGATAATGAGAGATCTATTCCATCTATGGTAGATGGTGAGTTCTAATTAGTCTTTTTATCATGGATTGGAGCTATAGCACAGCGGGTAGGGCATTTGCCTTGCATGTGGCCAATTCGGCTGACCCGGGTTCGATTACTCCACCCCTCTCAGAGCCCAACAAGCTACTGAGAATATTTCACCTGCACAGCAAAGCCTGGCAAGCTACCCGTAATATATTCAATATGCCAAACACAGTAACAACAAGTCTCACAATGGAGACGTTACTGGGCCCGCTTGAGCAAATTGATGAATAATAGGAGGACAGTGCTACAGTGCTATCATAATACAGAAAACAGTGCCCAGAGTAGTCCAGGATACTAATATTTGCTCTTTTATTTCATTTTGAAGGTTTGAAACCAGGGCAGAGAAAGGTTTTGTTTACTTGTTTGAAACGAAATGACAAACGAGAGGTGAAAGTTGCCCAGCTTGCTGGGTCAGTGGCTGAGATGTCCTCCTATCACCATGGTGAGGTAAATATACAGTGTATGATGTTTTCAGAAAGTACCATAGCAGAAATATCCACAGTTAAATTTTCCAAACCATGATGAAAGTATATGTTGGTATAGCAGAGAACAAATTGCTAAAATCTGTTGAACTATAGACTATATTTACTCATTGGTAAACAGGGATGTAACTCAGTGATAGCACACATGCTTCAGATGTAAAAGACCTTAGGTTCCATCTCCCTGCACACACTCCCTGCACACACACCCTGCACACACCAGAGTAAAGATGACTTTACTCTTTGGACCAATAAGTCTCTCAAATGAAATTCCTGGGGCTGGAGCAATAGGGCGCTTGCCTTGCACAAAGCCAACTTAGGTTCAGTTCCTGACACCCGATATGGTTCCTGTAGCTTGCCAGAGTAATCTCCGAGTGCAGAGCCAGTAGTAAGCCCTGAGCACCGCCAGCTCTGGCCTAAAAAACAAAAGAGTCCTAAATCTGATGGGGCTAGAACTATAGTGTAATAGCAGGTAGGGTATTTGGGTTGCACAGGGACAACCTGGGTGCAGTCCTACACCCAAGAAGTCTTGTGTTAGACACTGCTTCTGTCATCTAAGTGAGGGCTCAGAGGTCATTTTATAATGGAGGGGATTTGATTCAGGGTTGGTGGGGGAGCCAAGGGAAACTCCTTAACGCTTATACTATCTTTCGGGCCTGAGTTATTTATATTTGTCTGAGAAAGGTCAATAAATCTCTATACTTCATTGCAATAATGTGGCTATGCCATTAATACTGTTCCTCCAGATTAATGTATCTTTTTCTCACAGATGTCACTGATGATGACCATTATCAACTTGGCCCAAAATTTTGTGGGGAGCAATAATTTAAACCTCTTGCAACCCATTGGTCAGTTTGGTACTAGGCTACATGGTGGCAAGGATTCTGCTAGTCCTCGATACATCTTCACAATGCTCAGGTGGGTATGCTTTAATTTCCTGTGAGTTGTCGTTTCCAATTTTGAAATAATATGAGAGATCCTGGTGACCAAAAATAGAAAATTCTAATGGCTTAGAAAAGATACTTTTGACATAAAGGCTGGATTAATTAACTTTTAAAAGCAGACAAAACTACTTATTAAAGTTTAGTGACGGGACTGGAGCCTATAGTACAGCAGATAGGGTGTTTGCCGTGCTTTAGCAAGGGATGCTGCTTATCACCCTACAGTGCATTTCCACTAGGCCTGGAACATAAAGAGCATTTAATACTGTTACGTAAATATCAGCAAGTAAATCTAAGATTATTTTCAGTCACAGATAGGAGATAACATCTTTTTTCCCCCATGAATCATGAAAGCAATATTTTTGTAAGATAACATTCTTTGTTTTCTTTAGCCCTTTGGCTAGGTTGTTATTCCCACCAAACGATGATCATACCTTAAGGTTCTTATATGATGACAACCAACGTGTTGAGCCTGAATGGTACATTCCTATTATCCCCATGGTGCTGATAAATGGTGCTGAAGGAATTGGTACAGGGTGGTCCTGCAAAATCCCTAATTTTGATGTTCGTGAAGTTGTAAATAACATCAGGCGTTTGATGGATGGAGAAGAACCTTTACCAATGGTAACTATTATGTATATATTAAGGACCTTAGTTTTACCTTGGGTTTCAGTTCAGTAAAACTTGGGCTGGAGATGTTGCTCCACACATGGCCAACCTGGGTTCAATCCCCAGTACCAGATAGTCTCCTGAGCACCACCAGGAGTGATCGGTGAGCACAGGAGTGAATTCTGAACACTGCTAGTGCGTGAGTGAGGCCACGAGTTCAATTCTTGGCACCACCAAAAAAAAAAAAAGACCAGAACTATGCAAGGTTATTGTTTGTTGGGAGGGCCTACCCAGAGATATTCAGATGCTATTCCTGACTGTGCTATCGAGTGTCCCCTGGTGTTAGGGACCATATGTGGTTCCTGGGATTAGTAGCAGGATGGTAGCCTCTGCAGCCACATGCAAGGCAAGTGCCTTACCTCCTGTACTATCTCTCTTGCCCTAGTGATTTTTGTGTCTTTTTTTTTTAATAACAATTTGTTCTTTTTGAAAATGCCAATTTAGGTTCCAGGTTACAAGAACTTCAAGGGAACAATCGAAGAGCTGGCTCCAAATCAGTATGTGATTAGTGGTGAAGTGGCGATTCTTAATTCCACAACCATTGAAATCACAGAGCTTCCCATCAGAACATGGACCCAGGTAAGTAAATCTGTGGATTTCTCTTTATCATATTATGTGATGAGGGTGATGAGGCCAATACTTTTTCTACCATTGCTTGTTGAATATTTAGGAGCTTGCATCTCTTGTTTTCAGACATATAAGGAACAAGTTCTTGAGCCCATGTTGAATGGTACTGAGAAGACTCCCCCGCTCATCACAGACTATCGAGAATACCACACAGATACCACCGTGAAGTTTGTTGTGAAGATGACAGAAGAAAAACTGGCACAAGCAGAGAGAGCTGGACTTCACAAAGTCTTCAAACTCCAATCTAGTCTCACATGCAACTCTATGGTATGTCTCATTTTATGCAAGGTGCATATGTCTCAACTTTTTATCAGATGTTTATATTGCTAATAGGCTATCTTAACTTTTAGTTTTTATTTTTTTTTTCAAAAAATAGTCCTTTCTCTAAAACTCTTTTTAATGAAATTTAGTGAAATTATCTTTTGGGTTACCTGGTGATGCTTAGGGGTTGCTCCTGGCTCTGCACGCAAGAATCACTCCTGGTGATGCTCGGGGAACCATACGGGGTGTCAGAGATAGAATCCAGATCAGCCACGTGCAAGGCAAACTCCCTATCCACTATACTATCTCTTTGGCCCCCAAATTATCTATTCTTAACTCTTGTTTTTCTTTTCCAGGTGCTTTTTGACCATGTAGGCTGCTTAAAGAAATATGATACCGTATTAGATATTCTAAGAGACTTCTATGAACTCAGGCTTAAATATTATGGACTGAGAAAAGAATGGCTTCTGGGAATGCTTGGTGCTGAATCTGCTAAACTGAATAATCAGGCTCGCTTTATCTTAGAGAAAATCGATGGCAAAATAATCATTGGTATGTTTTTGAAATACTTACTCCTGTATCTAAAACTAACACCAAACTTCCTTGAAACATTTTTGGTGAGAAGGATGGTAGGGAGGGAGGGCAAATCCATTTAGTTCAGCTGGTGGTTAATACTACAAGCATTTGTTTCAAATATTTAACACATCTGTACGTAGCTTTTAGATAGCTTTAGCTTTTCCAGATTAGGCATCTTGAGAGATCCCTGTGTACAAGCCTGAGCAAATTGCCTGAGCATTTGCTTTGCAATCAGCCAACCCGGGTTCGATCTCTGACACCCCAGATGGTCCTCCCATGTTCTGCAAGGAGTGATCCTGGGCACAAGCCAGAGCAATCCCTGAATGCAGCTGGGTGTATCCCCTATCCCCAATGAATAAAAATTTGTAAAATCAAAAGCAGGGGCTTGGGTCAGTGAGACAGTACAAGAGATTAGGGTGCTTGCCGTATACACAGCTTTCTCTGGTGCGATCCCTGGCATCCCCTCTGATCCCCTCAGCACTGCCAGAAGTGATCCCTGAGCACATGGCTAGAAGTAAGCTCCTCAGGGCAAAACCACATGTGGCCCCCAAATCCAAAAATTTAAAAAGGGATGTGATTCAGTGGTAGAGCACTTGCTTTTCATGTGTGAGGCCCTAGGTTCAGCTCTCAGCGTCATATTGTTCCCCAAGCACACAAGCACAGCTGTTGTGTGCCCCCACTACTCCCCCAACAACCCCCCCCCTTGCAAAAAAGAGGGAGAGAGAAAATACATTTAAGCAAAATAAGATGTACAACTGAGGTAGAGGTTAGAGTCTTACACAAATAAAGGTTTCATTTATTTATTTGGAGTTTCTGATTGGTTTTGGTTTTGGTGTTTAGGCCACACCTAGTGGTGCCCAGGCTCTGCACTCAGGAATTACTCCTGGAGTGCCAGGGATCAAATCCAGGTTAACTGTGTGCAAGGCAAGCATTCTACTTGCTATACTATCACTCCAGCCCCCACAAATAAAGATTCTGATATCTTTTGTTCTGTTTTGAATTATGGATCATAGCCTCAGGTGATTTGTCTGCCCACTTCTGGTTGTGACTAGAGGTTAGTCATTTATTAACCAGAATGTACAACAAAAATATGCAAGAAAAGTTTGGTTTCCAGTTTTAAGATTTTGACTTGATACATGAAAATTTAATCCCACTTCTTACGTATCTAAAATTGTTGTCTTTCTTTACATTTTTTAATAGAAAATAAACCTAAGAAAGAATTAATTAAGGTTTTGATCCAGAGGGGATATGACTCAGATCCTGTGAAGGCTTGGAAAGAAGCCCAGCAAAAGGTAATATTTTTGTTAGCCGTTTTTTGTTTGCTTGTTTGTTTGTTTATTGTTAAAGACAATTTGTGTTTTAAATTTCTTTTTGGCATTATATTTTAATGTTTCATCTAGGTTCCAGATGAAGAAGAAAATGAAGAGAGTGATAATGAAAAGGAATCTGATAAAAGTGACTCTGTGACAGATTCTGGACCAACCTTCAATTACCTTCTTGATATGCCTCTTTGGTATCTAACTAAGGAGAAGAAGGATGAACTATGCAAACTAAGAAAGGAAAAAGTGAGTTATTAGATAGTTTCTGTTGCTTAATTATATTCTAGTGGTGAATATTAAAACTTGGGAGCTGGAGATAGTACAGCGAGTAAAGCGCTTACCTTGCATGTAGCTGACATGGTTCCATCCATTTCTACACCCCATATTATCCCCCAGGCATTTCTGGGTGTGCTTGCCTCCCAGAAAAAAAGAATTAAAATTGTGTTCCTTGTGAAAATTTTATTTGTTGAGTTTGGTATGTTGCTCAGCAGTAGAGCACTTGCCTTGCATCTTTGAGTTTTGATCCCAAGCACTGCACAAAAAAATACTACTTAGTGCTGGAGCGATGGTACAGCAGGTAAGGTGTTTGCTTTGCACCCAGGTTCAATCCCCAGTCTCTCATATGGTCACTGCCAGGAGTTCCTGAGTGCAGAGCCAGGAGTAACCCCCAAGCATCATCAGGTGTGACCCAAAAAGGGAAAAAAATACTACTTTGGCAAAAATTAATTCTTAATCTTTTATTTTATGAAGGAGGAAGAATTAGAAATATTAAAGAGGAAGAGCCCAACAGATTTATGGAGAGAAGACTTAGCTGCTTTTGTTGAAGAACTGGAGGTATGTTGTTCATGTTACCTACATTAGAAATTTCTATTAATGAATTAAGTAATCTTTCAATGTTGTCAAGAAATTTCAAAATTGGTACACATTCTCTGCTGCTCACATCACAATCTGTAATGGGTACTTTCTCTGGCTATATTTTTCTATATGGAAAAAAAGAAAAGAACAATTTCACAATTGGTAGTAGAAAGAATGTAAGTAACTTAAGTAAATACTGAAAGATAGCATATAAAAGAACAGACTAGGGGCCGGAGCAACACTACAGCAGATTGCCCTGGCATTTGCCCTGCACGTGGCCATCCCAAGTATGATCATCAGCACCTCATATTGTCCCCCAAGCCCACTAGGAGTGATCCCTGAGCATAGAGCCAGGAGTAAGCCCTGAGCACAGATTGTTAAAAATTAATTCAAATAAACGATCCCAGGAAATATACTACTCTAACATTAATAAAGAAAGAAAGGAAAGGATAGGAAGGAGATGAATTTCAATAAAGGAAAGGACATAATGGGATTGAGAAACAAAGAATTTAAATGTGGAAGACCCAATGTAGTGTTTCCCAACTTAACCTAAATGAACATAGACAATTTGCTTGTTGTGCTAACTAATCGGTTGCTTTAGAAAATTCTTTGTTACTATAGCCTCCCTAATAATGTTTTGATTTTTTTCCCTTATCACTTGACATGTGAAAAAGTATTTCATAAAGTTAGCTAAAGACTTAATATGCAGATTTATATTATTACACTTTAATATGAATGTCCAACTTGTACTTGTTAAGATGGAGAAGGATGTACTAGTAGAATCATGTTCTAGTTTATTTGAGTTTATAAGTTTCTGTGTTTCTATGTATAGATATGTATATATTATATCCTTACTTGTTTCTTTGGTGGGGGCAGTGCTTAGGGCCTACTTCTGATTCTCTGATCAGGGATCATATGACCCTATACACATTGCCAATGATTGCACAGGAATTGGCCCTGTGCAAGACAAATGCCTTAACCCTGTAACTATGTCTCTGGCCCCTCAGTTTCCTCTTAATTCTCATAGAAATTAAGTGATAGAATTAAGAATAAAAACTAATTTGCTGTCTCTACACTTTTTTAAAATGGGTCTTTTATCTTTAATTTTTGTTTTTGGGCCACACTTAGCAGTGCTGAATGCATACATCTGGCAGTGCTTGGTGAGCCATACAGAGAACAGGGAATTGAACTTTATCATCCCTTGCAAGGCAAGCGCCTTATCTGTTGTCCTGTCTCTCTAGCCCTTCAATGAAGATCTTAATTATATCTTCCCTATTGTTGAGTTTACTTAGTTGTGGAATAATTTATCACAAATTTGTCTTAAGGTAAAACAAATTGAGGGTGGGCCAGAGAGATACTGTAGCTTTGCACAGGGTTGACCTGGGTGTGGCCCCAAACCAAAAAAAAGCAAAAAAAAATAAATAAATAAAAATTGGAGGAGCTAGAGCAATAGCACAGTGGGTAGAGCATTTGGCCTTGCACACGGCCAACCCGGGTTCAATTCCCAGCATCCCACATGGTCCCCTGAGCACCTCCAGGGGTAACTCCTGAGTGAAGAGCCAGGAGTAATCCCTGTGCATCTCCTGGTGTGACCCAAAAAGAAAAAAATTAAAACTGAAGAAAGTACAGGGGTTAAAGCGCCTGCCTTACTTGAGGCCAAATCCTGTTTCTAAACCCAACAGCACCACCAGGGGTAATCCTTAAGCCCCATCAGGTATAGCCCCAGATACCACCCATACCCCCTAAAAAAGGATATAACAGGGGCTGGAGCGATAGCACAGCAGGTAGGGCATTTTCCTTGCACGCGGCTGACCCGGGTTCGATTCCCAGCATCCCATATGGTCCGCCGAGCACCGCCAGGAGTAATTCCTGAGTGAAGAGCCAGGAGTAACCCTTGTGCATTGCCAGGTGTGACCCAAAAAGGGGAAAAAAAAAAAAACGAGATATAACAAGCCAAAGTCTGAGGCCAGAAAGATAGCACAGTGGGTAAGGCACTTGCCTTAAGCACAGTCCACCAAGCTCAATCCCTAGTACCACATATGGTCCCCAAGCTGGCTAGGAGTGATCCCTGACTCTAGAGCCAGGAATAAACCCTGAGTACTGCTGATGTAGCCCAGCAATAGCAAAAGTTGAGGGCTAGAGCATGTTGTGCATGTATGAGCTCTAAAGTTGATCCCCCAGTACCACCAGGAGTGACTCCAAACAAAATACAAAAGTAGTTGTAACAGATTGAAATGAATTTAACGATGCCTCTCTTGCTATTCCTAGAAAGTGATATTTTAATCTTTGTTAATAGTTTATAAACTCAGTTGGTTTTTATCTTTCTTATAGGTTCTTGAAGCCAAGGAAAAAAAAGATGAACAAGTAGGATTGCCTGTGAAAGGTGGAAAAGCAAAGGGGAAAAAACCCCAAATGACCGAAGTCTTACCTTCTCCAAGTGGAAAAAGAGTCATCCCTGTAGTGACTGTAGAGATGAAAGCAGAGGCAGAAAGGAAAAATAAAAGGAAAGTTAAGGTAATACTCGATTGCATATAAGCTACTTTATACTTGTTGGGGGGGGGGGGGTGGTGCAAGGGGTTGTTTTGGGGCCACACCCAACAATGCTCAAGATTTACTCCTGACTGCACTCAATAGCACTCCTGGTGGTCCTCGGGAGACCACATGGAGTACCAGGGATCAAACCTGGTTCAGCCATGTTCAAGGCAAATGTCCTACCCACCATACTATGCTCCAACCCTGAAGCAGCTAACATACCTTTTGAGATTGGAATAACGGCTGAGGAGCTAAGTGAAATAGTCAAGCACTTGCTAGACATGTGCACAGTCTTGGGCTCAATCCCTAGTATCACATAGCCCCCAAGCACTGCTGGGTGTAGACTCTTCTTTTGGTTGTTTTATTTGTTTTGGCATTTTGGGTAACATCCAGCAATGCTCAGTCAGGGGTTACTCCTGGCTCTGCACTCAGGAATTACTCCTGGCTGGGCTCAGGGAACCATATAGGATGCTGGGATTGAACCTGGGTCGGCCATGTGCAAGGCAAATGCCCGACCTGCTATACTATTTGGCCCCTGTACACTTTTTTTTTTAAATAAAAATTACCACATTATAAAGATCTCAACTTTATTGTTGGAGATAGGGGTCACACCTACCAGCGCTTGGGGGCTTTTCCTCCTGGTAATATGTCCAGGGGACTATGTGGTCGTAGGGATCAAAACCAGGCTTTCTGAGGCAGAAGCAATAGTATAGTGGGTAGGGCACTTGCCTTACACAGTGCCTAACCAGGTTTGATCCCCAGCATCCTATATGTTTCCCCAGGCTGCCAAGAAGAGTGATGTCTGAGCACTGTTGGGTATGGTCAAAAGAAAAGCAGATTTTCTGCATGCAGTGCCTGCACTTAGCTACTGAGCGATCTATCCAGCCCAGTCCCACCATTTGGACTATATCCTGTACCTAATCATAATTTTCCTTATGGACTTGATTTTTTATAAAATTTTACCTTTATTCAACACTAGTAGCTCCCCGTGACGTATTCGATATGCCAAACACAGTAACAACAAAGTCTCCAATGGAGACGTTACTGGGCCCACTCGAGCAAATCGATGAACAACGGGAGGGCCTTTACTTTACTTTACTTACACTAGTAATCAAAGCCCAAATTTAAGATGACTCTGACGGGCTGGAGCTTAGCAGGTAAGGGCATTTGCCTTGCATCCGGCCTACCCAGATTTGATCCCCAGCATCCTATATGGTCCCCTAAGCACTGTCAGGAGTGGCTCCAAAACAAATCTGATATTCCTGTTATATATTTGTATAGCTGACTAAACTGTTTCAAATAATACATTGGCAGAACTTGACCTTTCTTGTTTATCTTGCTGTCTTTCAGAATGAAAACACTGAAGGAAGCCCTCAGGAGAATGGTGAAGTAGAAGGCCTCAAAAAAAGATTAGAAAAGAGACTGAAAAAAGAAAAAGAACCAGGTATTAAAACAAAGAAGATGACTTAGGGACCAGAGAGATAGTACAACGGGTAGGGTCTTGCACACAGCTGACCAGGTTCGATCCCTGGCACCCCTTATGGTCCCCTTAGTCTGCCAGTTGTGATCCCTAAGTACAGAGATGATAGTAAATAAGTCAGTGTGATTTACAATACTCTCATTATTAATGTTTTAAGAATATAATGCTGTGGACTTGAAAGATGGTACAGCAGGTAAGGCACTCCCTATTTATGAGCATATACTACCACAGAAACTCTACAGTGTATTTATTTGATCAGATGAGCAAGCTAGCTAGCTCCAAGCCCCATAAGGAAGAGGGACTGGACTGGAGAGAAAGCTCAAAGGACTGGAGTACTGGTTTTTCAACCTGCAAGCCTGGGTTTGATTCCCAGCACCACATGGTTCCCTGAGTACCCCAACAGTGGCCCCAAGAAAAGAGAAACCAAGTTTGTTTCTACTCCCCACTATATTCTCGCACTAACACCAAATTTTCAGAGAATAGATGGGAGACAAGTATAGTCACTAAGAATATGTAAAAGCATTTTTTCCTATCTCCGTTTCTAGGTGCCAAGACAATGAAACAAACTACATTATCTTTTAAACCAGTCAAAAAAGGGAAGAAGAGAAACCCCTGGTCTGATTCAGAATCAGATATGAGCAGTGATGAAAATGATTTTGATGTCCCTCCACGAGAAATAGAGCTACGGAAAGCACCAAGTAAGGAAAACAAATATACAGACGTGGGCTGGAGGTCAAGATCACCCAGGCTTCATCTGGAGCGGGCGGGGAGAACACACCTGCTCCATCTGAGGTGCCTTGGTGAACAGTGGGTAGGGCATTTGCCTTGCATGTGGCCGACCTGGGTTCAACCCCCAGCACCCTATATGGGCCTGAAAGCCTACCAGGAGTCTTTTTTTTCTTTTTAATTGAATCACCAGGAGATACAGTTACAAAGCTTTCATGTTTGAGCTTCAGTCATACAGTGATTTAACACCCATCCCTCCACCAGTGCACATTTTCCACCCCAATATCCCCAGTATCACCTCCACCCCCATCCCAGTCCTCACCCTGCCTCTGTAGCAGACAATTTCCCCAATTCTCTCTCTCTGCTTTTGGGCATTATAGTTTGCTTGAATTTTCCCTCCCCCATTCAAGCCTTCCTGTCAGGGGCAGACACTAGATAATTTATTTTCTTTTTGGGGGGGGGGGGAGGGGGTTTTCCTTTTTGGGTGACACCCAGCAATGCACAGGGTTTATTCCTGGCTCTGCGCTCAGGAATTACCCCTGGCAGTGCTCAGGGGACCATATGGGATGCTGGGAATTGAACCTGGGTCAGCCGCGTGCAAGGCAAACGCCCTACCCACTGTGCTATTGTTCCAACCCCTAGATAATTTATTTTCTGTTGCTCACTTTGAGTATGATGAGAGCTTGCATGGCTGCAAAAGCAACTGTGCACTTCTGGAATTCTAAGATTGTAAATGGTTGGGGTCCAGAGACATCTCTGTAGGGCGCTAATTCATTTTGGGATTCAGCAGGAAGTCCCTGGACCAGGGCCATTGGTGCGCTGAGACAGCGCCCAGAGGCAGGCTGTGGGCCTGAGAACCAGGATCCCAAGCTGGCGGGAAGCCAGGGAGGGACAGCCCGACTTCTCTGCCTCCACCATGAGGCCTGGAGTCTTAGTCCTGGAACCTGTATACCTGGCCTTGCTTCTGGAAGCTCATGGTCACCCAGGCTTCATCTGGAGCGGGCGGGGAGAACACACCTGCTCCATCTGAGGTGCCTTGGTGAAATTGGCTCAATACAGGGCCCGGAGAGATCTCCGGCAGTGTGCTGTCTTCCTGGACTCTCTGCTGTGTCTCTGGGCAAAAGCTGTTGGTAGGAGTAATTCCTGAGTGCAGAACACTTTTGAATGTGCAACCCCCCCCCCCCCCCCCCCCCCCGCCGCCTCCAACACCAAAAGAGAAGATAAAAAAACATGCTGAAAGGTTTCACTGGCCATATTTCAGGAACACAATCCCAGAAATGTTTGTCTAAGTTACTTAAGTTTTGAAAAACTAAGGCTTCTTTTAGGAATTAAACCGAATATTAAATATTGCGGAGAATTGCCTCTCAAGCAATACTCGGGGGGGCTCTGTGGGCACTCCAGTTATATTTAACCAACTGAACTACATTCTCTGGCATAGCAGTGGCTGTGCTGGGGTTGAGGTGCATGCAGTGCTGAGCATCAGACTCAGGGACCTAAGCACAGGCAAGATATGTGCTTCTGCTCTTGGAACTGTCCCTCTGAGCCCTAAATAGTAAATCTTTATTAAATATTTTACCAATCTGGGGATTGCTTATTTCTCCTTTTATTCTCTTTGACTCTTGAAATATGTATTTTTTCACAGCAAAAATTAAAACCATGGTAGATTTGGATTCAGATAACGATTTCTCTGATTTTGATGAAAAGAATCAAGATGAAGATGATGGAGATTTTGTTCCATCAGATGATAGTCTACCTACAACCAAAACTTCCCAAAAGTAAGTTTCTTCTCTAAAATGGATTTTTATATTTCTTTAATAGTCAAACAATAACAGTTTCTTGTTTGAAATAATTAGAATTAGATTTAAGTACTTTTATATTTTTTAATTTTTAGACAAACTAACAAAGAACAGAAACCACCAAAAAGTGCCATGTCAGGTATGTATTTACGTGAAAATAACTTTAAAATAGTTAAATGTTGGGCCAAAGCAATAGAACAATAAGTAGGGCATTTGCCTTGGAAGTGGCTGATTCAGGTTTAATCCCCAGCACCCAATATGGTCCCCCAGGCCTTCTAGGAAAAGCCCTAAACACTGCTGGTGTGGCCGCAAAAAAACAAACAAAAAAAAAATTACATTCTTAGCATTACAGTGATGTTTAGAGATGGATTTTTTTAATATTTTTTATTGAGATACTATAATTTACAAAGTTTTTTATAACACCTAACTTTATAATCAGCCATAATCAAATTCTATGTATACAGTTTTCCCATCCTCAACCCCATCATACTAGTATCAGAGATCACTCCTGCTGAGCTCTGGGGCCATAAGGGGTGCCAGGGACTGAACCCAGATCAGCTGCATTGCAAGGCAAACACTGTAACCACTGTCCTATCACTCTGGCTCCGAGATAGATTTTATACTTAATAAATTTAAAGGAGGTGGGGCTGGAGCAATAGCACAGCGGGTAGGGTTCGATTCCCAGCATCCCATATGGTCCCCTGAGCACCGCCAGGAGTGATTCCTGATTGCAGAGCCAGGAGTAACCCCTGTGCAACACCGGGTATGACCCAAAAAGCAAATAGATAAATAAATTTAAAGGAGATAAGGGGGGGGGGGGAGTTTTTCTTTTAAGTAATCTGTGTGGGACCAGAGAGATAATGCAGCGGTAAAATGCTTGCCTTATATGTATGTGGCCAATCTAGGTTCGATCCCCAACAACTCATAAAGTCCCCTGAGCACGACCAGGTGTGGACCCCCAGAAAATGGAAAAATCAATGAAATCTGCTCGCTGGGTACTATATTAGAGGCTAGAGATTTAAAGCAATAAAAATTCAGTGCTGTATGGTGTTGGAACACTGTATACATGAATTAACAGTTGTGGAGGGCCAGAGATAGTACAGTGGGTAGGACTCTTACACGTAGCTAGCCTGGATTCAAACCCCAGCACCCCAGTGGTCCTTTGAGTCCTGTCAGAAGTGATCCCTGGGCACAGCGCCAGGATCTGAGCAGTGCCAGCTAAGGTATGCGTAAAGCAAAATGAGCAGAAAAAAAGTCCAGTGGATTTTCACATTTCCTAATACCTTTTCATTTGAAGTAATGGACCTTGATGCTGATGATGTCAAGAATGATGTACCAGTTTCCCCAAGCCCCCTTGCTGCCGATTTGACAGCTAAAACGGAAACTACAGAGCCTATTTCTAAAAAGAAGGTGACAGTGAAGAAGACAGCAGCAAAAAGTGAGCCTGAAGTCTTTGAGATGGGTTAATACTGGAATTAAGTAACTGGCTGCCACATGTAAATTTTGATTTTATTCCCAGCCTTCACTGTTAAGTTGAAATTAAATATTTTCTAAATGAATGAAGCCTTTAGAAATCCTTGTCATCAAACTGGTGGTTAAAAGTTTTTCTAGTAACATGTTTCTCAAAATGCTAGGCATCAGACCAAAAAGACAGTGCAAAGGACTAGAGGATATACACCACTGAGTATGGCCCAAACCTCTTGGTACCCCCCTGCGCCCTTTGCCAAGGCTAGGCCTCAGCTAGTTCATTTCTGTGACAGAAATAGGATTTCTAAATTACAAGTGTTTAATGTAAAAAAAAAATATGCCTATAAAATGTTAAATATTTTCTCTTGGGGCCAGAGGAACAGTTCAGCAAGTAGTAATTTTACCTTGCACTCAATCAACTGGGGTTCAATCCTCAGCACCCCATATGGCCCTCTGTACACCGCCAGAATTCCTGAATGCAGAGCCAAGAGTAAGTCCTGAGCACAGCCAAGTATGGCTAAAGAGAAACCCCATAAAAGCCTTCTCTAGTATATTTTCTGCTATTACATTCTTTCCCGATGTTAGTAAGGAGACAGGGAAATAGCTCAAAGGTCTGAGCTCTGCCTATTATATGAGCCCTTAAGCCCCTGAAAACAAAAATTCAGAGGATAAATCATCTCTAAGTGGTCATGATGATTTTGTTGACTTGCAGGTCAATCTTCCACCACCACTGCAGGCACCAAAAAAAGGGGTGCACCAAAAATAACCAAAAAGGATTCAGGTTTGAATTCTGAAACCTCTAAAAAGCCTGATCCCACTAAAACAAAGATTCGTCGCAAAAGGAAACCTTCTTCTTCTGATGATTCTGACTCTAATTTTGAGGAGAAAGTTTCTAAGGCAGCTGCAAATAAGGTGGGTATTTTGAAACACAGCCAGGCTTTGCTCTTCTTAACAATTTGGCACCATTTTTAGGAAAGTTAATTTAAATCTCATACTCCATTAGTTCCTGCTGTATTTTGTTTAGCTGTAGCAAGTTCAATGTGCCACTTATCTGGTGAATGAGATAATGCTTTTAAATCTCTTTCTTACTCCTTATGAAGGTGGAAAACTTGAACTGGAGTCTGATTGTGCCTTTTACATTGAAGTTATGCTGTGGGTTGGTGTTATGCAAATTACATGGACTTGTAATTTCTTGTAGAAATCCAAGGGGGAGACCAATGACTTCCATCAGGACTTAGACTCTGCTCTTGCCCCGCGGGCAAAATCTGGACGGGCAAAGAAGCCTATAAAGTACCTTGAAGAGTCAGATGATGATGATCTGTTTTAAAATGTAAGATGACTATTTTGAGTAACGGTCTTATTAAGCCCAAGGCTGTTTTTAAAGTTGCCTGAAGCTCTTAATTTCCTCCCCTGAGAATGTAATTTGAAAAGATAATCCAGAACTCTCAAGGTTGTAAAGGTAATCCAGAACCCTCAAGCATATAAAGCCCAAAGATCCCTTTCTCTTTTTACAATATTATCTAACATATGACTGTCTTTTGGGCAATACTGTTCTTACTTTAAAGTGTCTGTGTTTTGAGTTTGTTGTCTTTGAACTGATTTTATGTTTTACTGCACTCTTGAGAGTTGTGGTCACTTTAGCATAATGTCATTTGTTTATTGACCCTTCACTCTAAAATGGGAGCACTTTGATATTCAAGTGTCTACTCCATCTCTTTTTGTTCCAGCAAATATTATAGAGCATGATCAATTTTCTTTTCTTAGATTTTATAGGTAATTTTCCATCAGATACACTTTATAGTTTTAATACAAATACTCTCCCCCGTTAGCCTTTTATGTGCTGAATTTTTGTTCAAGCAATGAGAAATTACTCAAATTCTTCCTCTCCTATTTGGCATCATCCTTTTGATGATTATTACAGACTCAAGAAAATACCATTGCTGGGGCCAGAGTGATAGTCCAGTGGTAGGTGCTTACCCTGCTAACTATCCTCAGCACTATATATAGTCCCTAAGCCCCCCCAGGAGTAATCCCCTGATCACAGGGCCAGGAATAAGCCCTGAGCACCGCCAGGTGTGTTCCCCCCTCCCCCCCAAAAAAGCCACCATTGCTGTTTGTCTGTAACCACAACATAATCAGTAGCATGAAGAAAACTTAATGTGCCATTCCAAGCTCTTGCTGTGTCCCCTCTGGCTGCCTCTGAGTCTTAGACATCCCAAAGAGCTGGTTTCGTGGGAGCAGAAGAGTACTGATTTCTAGATTGAAGAATAGGAAACATTTGCTCAGAGATCTTATTATTTTGCCATATTCAGCAGGGAGCTATTGTATCCATTTTGGGAAATTTCCATTATTTTCAACACTCGTATCCTTTTGTAAACCTTTCTGTCTTGTTATGTGTGTGTACTTTAAGTGGTGTTATTAATGTTTTGTATATACTTAATATGTTTTTCTATTTAGCTTAATTTCAACAATTTTGTACTTTAATAAAATGTTCTAAACATTGCACCCATTGGATTCCCTTCTTCCCTCTGCACTACAGCCTATATCTCTCTTAATTACCTTTAGAGAATTATTTTAATCATACCCTGATGTGCCTGAACATAACAAGTCTTTGTTTTTGTCCCAGCAATTCTCACACTAAGAAATTTAGTTCTAGGGACTAGAACAATAGCATAGCAGGTAGGTCATTCAAAAGAAAAGGAAAGAAAGAAAGAAAGAAAGAAAGAAAGAAAGAAAGAAAGATAGATTTAATTCCACTGCCAGAGTACTAGTGCAGTACATAGGGCTCTTGCCTTAATTGCAGCCAACCCAGTTTAATCTCCAGCACTGCTTATGATCCCCTGAGTCCACCAGGAGTGATCCCTGAATGCAGAGCCAGGTGTGTCTGTCAGGTGTGACCCAACACACACTCCCTCCAAAAAAAATTAGTTCTGGGGGGGTAATGGACAGAGTACAGGAGGTAACTTATTTGCCTTGCACATCACCAACCTAGTTCAAATTCCAGAGCCACATATGGTTCTTGAGCACCACCAGGAGTCACTCCTGAGTGCCACTGGGTGTTAAAAAAAAAAAAAAGGACACCCTCCCCAATTTGGAGGAAATGTCATCTAATACTTTCAGGGCCTAAATGAAACAGTAGAGAGGGAGGAATTTGCCCTCTCCCTGGGCTCCATTTGATATCTATTTTCTGCTCCCAGTGGCAGTGTGCCTAGTTCTCAGGCCCTAAAGTGTCACACCATATTAAAATGGCTGCTCTTAGATGACTGAAAGGAGAGGATTTCCATTAAAACATAGTCTACAAGCCTCGTAGTTTCCACTTGGCTGTTTGTACAGTCCCCAAGAGCAGAAGTTCACAAGCTACCACAGCCTATCCATGACGAGCATAAACAGTGGACAGCTGTTACTCCTGATAATAACATCTCTAGAGCAGGTAGTTAGGTTCCTCTAAAATTTACAAAACAGGGCCAAAGCAAAAGTATAGCAGGTAGGGCACTTGCCTTGCACGTGGCCAACCTGAATTCAATCCAATATACAGTTCCCAAATCATTGTCAGGAGTAGTTCTTGAGTGCATAGCTAGGAGGAACCCCTGAGCACAAGCCAGATGTGGTCCTAAAACAGAACAAAGGAAGAATCTCCATTGAAAACTACCAATGATTGCATTTGTTGCCAGGTAGAACAGAAAGTTCAAACTGGACAAGAAATGGTTGTACTGTGATTTAGTATGTTTGCAGAATTGTCACTGTCACTGTTCTCTCGTTGTTCATCGATTTGCTCGAGCGGGCCCAGTAACATCTCCATTGGAGACTTTGTTGTTACTGTGTTTGGCATATCGAGTACATCACGGGGAGCTTGCCAGGCTCTGCCGTGCCGGCGAGATACTCTCGGTAGCTTGCCGGGCTCTCCAAGAGGGGCGGAGGAATCGAACTCGGGTCGGCCATGTTGGCTGTGTGCAAGGCAAACACCCTACCACTGTGCTATCGCTCCAGCCTGTAGAATTCAGGAGAGCAAAAACCTAAATTATGTACTGCATTGTTTGTTGTCTTTGCGAACGACATGACTCACTAATCATGAAAAGGCTAAAACTGAGGGCATGAGCACATACTTCTGCTGTATTACAAAACCAAATGTTATCTGCAGTGAAGATCTGGAGGGCACAGCAACCAAAAGGCACAATGAGGAACCAGAGAGTAGAGTGGGTAATTGCCCAATCTGGTGCAATCCCCAGCACTTCATATGCTCCCCTGAGCACCACTAGCAGTAATCACTGAGTGCAGTCAGGAATAATCCCTTGCAAATCACCCAGTGTGGCCTAAGAAAGACAAAATGAGCATGTGGGGCCAGAGTGGGGGTAGGGGTCTAGGAGTTTGCATTGCGCAAGACCAACCTGCATAGGGCCCCCAAGGAACATCAGGAGTGATCCCTGAGCACAGAGCTAGAAGTGACCCCTGAGCAATACCAAGTGTGGGCCACAAAACAAGCAAAATGACGATGTGTGTGGGACATGGGGAAGAGACAAAGATACTGCCACGTGCTGCTTCTGTCCAGAATGGGTTTGCACCTAGTCACCAGCGAGGACACAGAATGAATGACAAAATTCCCACAGAATGGGCTTCAGAACACCACAACTAAGCAGATAGGGCTTAACCCCAAAAGTGAGCTACACCCCCATCCCAACCGGGCATCTTCAGCCCCAAATCACAGTATTGATGTTTTTGTTTTTTGTTTTTGCAGTGGGGGAGGGATGGCGTTTGACTTTTTGGCGTCACACCCAGCGATGCTTCGTTACTCCTGGCTCTGCACTCAGGAATGACTCCTGGCAGTGCTCGGGGGAACATGTGGGATGCTGGGGATCGAATCCAGGTTGGCTGCGTGCAAGGCAATGCCCTCTCCACTGTGCTATCACTCCGGCCCCAGTATTGATGTTTTTCTTTTATTTTAAAATTCTCAGTCCACCTGACGTGATGGGCACATGTGAATCAAGGGGTAGAGCACCTGTGTAGCTGCTGTGACCCTGAGATTATCGCCAGGCCCTGCATGGCGTCCCTGCACTGTACACCACAGGTGTGGTCCTGGTGGCCACTGAGCGATGCCCACAGCCTGGTCAACCACCAGCTCAACACTCAGCATCTCCAGGAGTGGCTGCCCTGTGACCCTGTCCAAGCACACCGCAAAAAAGTCTTTTTTTTTTTTTTAAAGAGGGGAACTACACTTGGCAGTGCTGGGGGCGGGGGGAGGGCATGCAATGCCAGGGGTCAAGTCCAGGGCTCCCACATGCAAAGTGTGTGCGCGGCTCTCAAAGCGCCTCTCCAGGCCAGATCCCAACACTGCCCTCGGTTCCCCACTGGAGGTCAGCGTCAGCAATTCCAGAACTTGATACAAATGAAATGCAGTTATGTCTGCTTGGTATCTGGCTTCTTTCATCCCACATGATGTGTTTGAAACTCATGCTGCTACACGTATCAGTCATTTTCCTCTTCTTTTGGCCAAAGATTATTCCATTGCGCGCGTTTGTTTATTCACTCACCTGTTGATGGACATGTGGGTGGTGTCCAGGGTGAATGTATTATAAATAAAGCTGTTGTGAACATGGGAGGGCAAAACCTTTGTTAGAGAAACGTGTTTTCTTTTTCATTTCTCTGGGCTCAGTACCTAGACTGTTAGTACCTAAACCTTTAGGCCACACGTGGCAACAATGCTCAAACCTCTTGGCCCTGTCCTAGAGCAGAGGGGAATTACACCCGCTGGAGGTCCCACCTGCCCGTCTCAGCCACTCTTAAATGTTCCTTGTGGCAGTGTGGCCCGGTCAGTGGCTGAGCTCTGCTGGCAGCCTCATCTACAAGCCATGGGTTTCGGGGTTTCGACAGGCTCTCCCTTCTTTGCCTTGGAAACACAGGGAAAAGTGACAGGAGGGAAACTGCTTGGGGTTGGGGGGGGGGGGGGCGGAGCTGGGAATTCTCTAGAGGCTGATTTCAAAACTCTTTACCCTTGGGCCAAATAACTGGAAAGGTTAAGATGCTCCGCATGCGGGAGCCCCTGTGGGAGAGCCAGTCTGGAGAGCCAGGTTCCATCCCCCCACCGGGCATGGCCCACAAAACAAAATAAGACCCAGGGCTGGGAGAGCACAGGTTAAGGTGTGTGCCATGCATGCTGCTGACCCATTCCATCTTACCACAAAGCAGCACCCCAAGTGACCCTGAGCACAAAGTCAGGAGTAAGCCCTGAACACCCCTGGGTATGACCCAAGCCTCCAACCTGACCCCCCAAACAAAAACCCCAAACTCCCCTTCCCTTACCCTGCAGGTGGTCCCACCACTGAGCCATACCTGGGGGCCCCGCCCTGCTGATCTAAGTCTCCTATTTGTGGAGGCCCAGATGTACGCCCAGCCCAGACTCTGCACTTGGGAATTACTCCTGGCGGTGCTCAGGGGATCATATGGGATGCTGGGGATCGAACCCAGGTCGGTCTTATGCAAGGCAAATTCCCTTCTCCCTGTACTATCGTTCTGGCCCCCAATCCCTGCTTTATTCTGTGGTCTTTGGCCTTTACTCCATCAGCCTAGGGACAGAAGAGTGGGAACAGGTCAAGTGACAATCTGGAGACCGGAGACCATTATGCCTCCCTGGAGGCAACACTCCCGCAAGTGTCCATAAGCCCTGAGTGTGGGAAGTGACATGGACCCAGGACACAGTCACGAATGGAGTGAGGCCTCCTGCCCTCCTGTGGAAGGGGCAATCACAGCTCTCTGCACTCACCAGCACATAGCGGATGCAGCTGGAAACCAGGGAAGAACTACTGTCATCAGAGAAGCAGTCCTGGCTCCTGTGAGCCTGAGAGAAACGGGAAGGGAAATGTAAGATGACGTGCTGCTATAAAGCCCTAGGGACAGCACAGGGATTCGGGCATGCGGCCCCAGTCCCAGACCCGGCACCCCAAGGGGTCCCCTGAGCCTCACCTGGAGTGATCCCTGAGTATTGCCAGCTGTGGTCTGAAATAAAAAAGGCTTAACATCCAGGGCCAGAGCAATAGTACAGTGAGCAAGGTGCTTGCCTTGCATGCAGGTGACCCAGGTTCGAGCCTCAGAATCCCATATGGTCCCCTGAGCACCACCAGAAGTGACTCCTAAGTGCTAGGAAGAAGCCCTGAGCATTGCTGGGTGTGGCCCAAGAACAAAGACAAAAGTTTAACATCCTAGATACTGACCAGAGAAATGAAAATAAAAAAGTTTCTCTAAAAAAAAGGATAATAGTTGTAATACTTGGAAACACTCTGGGCAAGAACTGAGTGTTGAAAGTAGGTAAAGGAAAAAAAGAAAAAGTAGGTAAAGGGATATACATGATAATCTTTCAGTATCTGTATTGCCAACCATAATGCCCAAAAAGAAAAAGAGAGAGAGAGAGAGAGAGGGAGAGAGAGAGATGCATGTCATAGAGCATAGAGGCAGGGGTTGGGGGCAGGAGAGAAACTGGGCACAGGACATTGGTGGTAGGAAATGTACATGGTGAAGGGACAGGTGTTGGAATATTGTATGACTGAAACCCAATCAAGAACAACCTTGTAACAGTGTAGCACTGTCCTCTGGTTGTTCATTGATTTGCTTGAGCGGGCACCAGTAACTTGTTTGACCTTGTGAGACTTGTTACTGTTTTTTTGGCATATGGAATAGCCACAGGGAGCTTGCCAGGCTCTGCCATACTCTCAGTAGCTTGCCGGGCTCTCCGAAAGGGATGGAAGAATCAAACCCGGGTCAGCAGCATGCAAGGCAAACGCCCTACCGGCCGCTGTGCTACCGCTCCATGGTACAATGGACTTCTAGAGGCTGTAACAGTGTATCTCACTGTAATTCAATTTCTAAAAATAAATTTAATTATTTTTAAAAAAAGGATTTGTACTCTGGTGCTCATAACAGCTTTACTTATAATACATCCACACTGGACACCAAGATTAGAGTATGGGGGTAAAGCACTTGCCTGGCACACGACTGATCCCAGTTTGATCCGCAGCACGATGTCCAGTTCCCCAAGCACTGCCAGGAGTTAAAAAAATTGAATTGTTGGAGGGGGGAAGCCATAGGCCATACACGGTGGTCTCTGGAAGTCTCAAACGGTCTTTTCTGGAGACAAACTCCTACACACCTCTGCTGTCTGTGATGCTTGAGGGGCCAGGGCGGGGGTCTGGGCCTGAGCATGACCATGGCCAGGGCGGGACAGGCCCGACCTCCAGGCCAGCCCAGAATGAGGCCGAGCCGAGCCCCGGCAGCTCTGCGGAGCCTCAGCGACACCTTCCCGGCTGGATGGGACTATCTGGAAGGAGGGCGGCTGAGATTGTGGTGTCTCCTGTCCCTGCAGCATCAGACACAGGACAGCCCGGGGCCACGGTGGGCCTCCTCCTCCTCCTTCCCTCCCCCTCCTCCTCCCCCCTCCTCCTCTTCCTCCTCCTCCTCGCCCCCACCACCCAGGGCTACTGGGATTTTTCCAGGCTGGCCGGATGGTCTGACCCAGCAAGGGCTCTGGGGACAGGGCAGGCCCAATTCCTGGAGCTGGTGGGGGCGGGGGGGACAAGCGGGGCATCACACGTGGGGGTCGGGGACCAGATTTGCCAGGAGCAAGTGGAGGTCAGCAGCCCCCAGCCCCGTTTCCTGTTTTTGCCATGTGGGGTCCCAGCACGTGCTTTCCTTTGGCCTCTGTCCAGGTCAGCGTCTCCCTAGCTGTGCCCACTCCCCGGAACAGGGTGGGAGGCCCCCCAGCACGTCCGGGCACTAACACAGGGATTTTCCAGGAGGGGCTGGACTCCGAAGGGCACCTCCCCACCCCTTCCTGAAGCTGGGCAGGAGCCCCCAGCAGCACAGACAGGCTGCAGAGGGCAAAGGGCACCAGGGAGGCGAGCTCCTGCCCAGCTCCCTGCGCCCCCAGAGTCTGGGCCTCAGAGGCCCTGGACCACTACCTGGGGAGCCAGGCCAGGATGGACGGACAGTCCACGAGGCACATGGGTGACCTCCTGACAGTGTGCCAGAGCAAGCAGTGGCCCTCCTGCCTCAGGGCATGAACTACCCTGACCCGCAGCCGTGGACAGGCAGGACTTACCCGGGACAGCCCTCACCAGGCGCTCACCGACCCCAGTGTCAGTCTTGCCCCAGGGCCAGCAGGGCCACAGCCCTTGTGGGCAGCAGGGAGAAGAGAGACTTCGGCTCCCTTTCTGTTTCACCTTCTACAAAGACAGGGAATCTGGGGCCCCGCAAGGACAGGAAGGAAGCCAAGGGCCCCGCTGGACTTCAGACAGCGGCTCGGGAACCTTCCACACGGGATCTGTTCTCCGTAGGAGGAAGCCTGGGGTGGCCAGCCCCTGCCTGAGTGCGGAGGAATCTGGGGACTGCCCAAGGTCAGCCGTGGCAGGGCTGGACCTGAGGCGCCTCGCTGCCTCTGCAGACACCAGTGCTCTCCTGAAGAGCTGCATCTTCCGGTGTGGAAGAGCCCCCAGCTTCCGTAGTGAGAGGTGTGGTTCTGATCAACACCCCAGTTTCCAATGGAGAGGGGGCCGTGGTGCGGGTGGGGGTGAGAGGGATGGAAAGGAAGGGCAAGGGCCCCGGGGGCGTGGCCCTGCCTGCTCCCAAGGGTGGAGCTGCCCCGCAGGGTCACCCTGTCCCTTTAAGAGAAGGGGGAGAGCGAGCCCCTCGGCCATCCTGTCCTGTCATCCATCCTCGCCAAACCCAAAAGGGAAAATGAAAGAGGGGCTGGGAGGCGCAGGTCCCGGCCATCTCCCAAGATTCCGCGCTCAGCTGTGAGGTCCGCGCTCCGGCCATAGGGTGAGTGGGCCTGGGGGGTCTGGGGTCCCCCCTGGAGAGTGGGGGCAGTGAGTGCAGGGTTCAGGGAGGCATGAGGAGCCTCAGAAGAGGTCAAGAGGCGGCAGGAGGGAGATGGGCCCCGCTGGGCCTAGTGGCAGGGGATCCCCCAGGACGCAGGACTCATCCCCACAGTGATGGAAGTGGGGGCTCCTTTTGTGTCAACCCCCAATTCTGGGCGGAGTTCCCTGCAGGGGGAGAGGAGGTGGGGCTCCCCCACTCCCAGGCTGTCTTCTCCCTCGAGGTGGGTCTAGAGACTTCGGCAGGTGGGTTTGGGGACTCCAGCGGAGCACTGGTCAACCGCTCGGACCCCGGGCTGTGTCCCGGACACCCACAGTTGAGAATCACCTCACCCCTTCCTACCTCCACCAGCCTGTGCTAAGTCCTGCGACCCCCCACCCACCCACCACCACCACCAGAAGCTAAGCCCCCTCCCCCATCCTCAACTCACCGTCCAGGGAGAGGCCAGCGAGGCCGGCTGGGCCGGGTGGGCTGGTGGGGTGGGTTCCCCCTGAGGGCGCCCGCCCGCCGCTTACCCGCGCCCCACGTGCGTCCCCAGCACCATGGGCGAGTGGGCCTTCCTGGGCTCGCTGCTGGACGCCGTGCAGCTGCAGTCGCCGCTCGTGGGCCGCCTGTGGCTGGTGGTCATGCTCATCTTCCGCATCCTGGTGTTGGCCACGGTGGGCGGCGCCGTGTTCGAGGACGAGCAGGAGGAGTTCGTGTGCAACACGCTGCAGCCGGGCTGCCGCCAGACGTGCTACGACCGCGCCTTCCCCGTGTCCCACTACCGCTTCTGGCTCTTCCACATCCTGCTGCTGTCCGCGCCGCCCGTGCTCTTCGTCATCTACTCCATGCACCGCGCGGGCAAGGGGCCCGCGGGCGGCGGCGGCGGCGGCGGCGCGGCCGAGGCGGGCGGCGCGGGGGGCGGCGGGCGCCCCGACGGGCCGGGTGCGCGCCGCTGCTACCTGCTGAGCGTGGCGCTGCGCCTGCTGGCCGAGCTGGCCTTCCTGGGCGGCCAGACGCTGCTCTACGGCTTCCGCGTGGCCCCGCACTTCGCGTGCGCCGGCGCGCCCTGCCCGCACACGGTCGACTGCTTCGTGAGCCGGCCCACCGAGAAGACCGTCTTCGTGCTCTTCTACTTCGCCGTGGGGCTGCTCTCGGCGCTGCTCAGCGTGGCCGAGCTGGCGCACCTGCTGTGCAAGGGCCGCCGCGCCGCCGAGCGCGACAACCGCTGCAACCGCGCGCACGAGGAGGCGCAGAAGCTGCTGCCCGGGCCGCCGCCGCCGCCGCCGCCGCCGCCACCGCCGCCCGCCCGGCGCCCCGGGCCCGCCCCCGGCGCCCCGCCCGCCTACGCGCACCGCCCGCCCGCCGGCCGCGGCCGCCACGACCTGGCCATCTAGGAGCCCGGCCGCTGCCCGCTGCCCCGGCCGAGCTGCGGACGTCGAGGCCTGGGACCAGGAGGAAGCCGGGATGCCTGCCGGGCGAGACGCCGGGGGGGCCCGAGAGCGCGGGCTGGGCCCGGGAGGACGGAGGCTGCGGGTCTGACGGACCCGCTGCGGCCCCCGGTTCCCCCAGGGCCTCGCCGGCGTGGTCCGAGGGAGACGTGGTCGCTGTGGATGTGCGCACGAGGCCGCCGCGTGCATCTGTGACCCCGGCATCAGTTCTGGGTGTGTGTGTGAACTGGGCGTGCAAACCAGGTATGGGCTCGGTGTGCCCTGCTCACGTTTGTGCTTGAGTGCGGGGTCAGCTCGGCCTGTCTTTGTGTGTATGTGTATGCATCTGTGTGTGTGCATCTAAGTGTGCATCCATGTGTATCCTGTATGCTCCCACGTGTGTGTGCATCTGTGTGTGCATCCATGTGTGCATCTGTAAGTATCCTGTCTGCATCCGTATGTATCCATGTGTGCCTGTGTCCATCCATGTGCATCTATGTGCACCCATGTGTGCATCTGTGTACCTCTGTGTGCGTACTCATACGTGCATCTATGTGTATTCGTGTGTACACTCATGCGTGCAGCCATGTATGCATCTGGGTGCATCCATGTATGCATCAGTGTGTGCATCTGTGTGCACCGTGTGTATCTGTGTACGCATTCGTATGTGCGTATGTGAGCATCTGTGAATTTGTGTGTGCATCCGTGTGTGATCCGTATGCATCTGTATGCATACTGTGGATATATGTGCATTTGTGTGTGCAACCTGTGCATACACTTGTGTTCATCTTTGTGTATCCACATGTGCATCTTCATCCATGTGTGCATCTGTGTGTACAAGCATAAGCAGCCGTGAGCCCTGTGTGCACGTGCAGACATTTTCCACTTTCAGGGGCACTGCAGGCAAGAAGGGGTCTCCCGAGGGACCCCCAGAGGAGCCGGAGGCCTCCCACAGCCTGTGTGCTGGGACTTGTGCTCACCACCCACCCTGAAGCCTGTGGCCCTTTCATGGGGGGGTCAGTGGGGCTCGAGCAGGACTCTTCCCCGTGGTCACCCCCTCTCCCTACTGCTCTCCCTCCCGGTCCAAACAGAGGAAACGTGCCCCCAGCACCCCCCTTCCCTTGCCGCCATCTCCATCTGACTTTCCTCCCTCACCTCCTGGAAGCCACTCTCCATAAAGTGGCCCAGGAGCTAAGTGACAAACCAGGGCCACCCTCTGGCCACACCCTGGGGCTTCCATGGACCCTGCTGACCAGACCCCATTCATTTCTCAGCACCCTCTCCTGCCTGTGGCCCACAGCAGCTGGATGCGTCTGTTTTAACTTGGGACCCCTGCCTGAGTGCCGGGGTCTCTCCTGGCTCGTGCATCCCTGTGTGCGGGCAAGTCCTATTCCTCCCACCCCTGGAGGTGTCTTTCTACACCTGCCAAGTTCGCCCGGGCTCCCCTTCCTGGGGTGAGTCGGGCCTATGTCAGGCTTCTCCAGACACCCCCCCTCCCCGCAACCAGGCCCCCAGGGTTCTGTGCCTCCAAACAGCAGAATGTTCTGGTACCAAGCACGTGCCCAACACGACCTCCAAGTTTTTTGGATTTTGTTGTTGTTTGTTTATTTGTTTGGGGGGCCACACCTGATAGTGCTCAGGGCTTACTCCTGACTCTGTGCTCAGGGATGACTCCTGGAAGGTTCCAGAGACTGTATGGGATGCTGGGGATCAAACCCAGGTGGGCGGTGCGAGCCAAGTGCCCTACCTACTGCACTGTCCTTCCGGCCTGGCCACCAAGTGTTGGGACTAGCCTGTCCATCTTCCTCTGCCCAGAACTGCCCTCTCTGCAGTGCCCCGACAGCCCCCCTGCTGGGCACAGTCCTTCTGAGCTGATGGCACTAGGGTCCCCTCCAGCTGCCCCCGTGTGTGGCTGAGGCCCATCCCTGAGGCCTCAGGCAGGAATGACCAGTGCCCGGCTATGATGTCCGCAGCCCGCCCGGGCACTGCTGCGTTCCATGGCGCTGTCCCATAGCACCCACAGAGATACTGAAGGGCTGTGCATGCCCCGAGTCACACCCGCAACTGCCAGTCCAACCACGGCCACGTTAAAAGCAGCACAGAGGCGGGCGAAGTCCTTGAGTGAGACATCCTTCAGCCCGCGCGAGGGAGAGACCTCCTGTTCCTTCCCCTGTGGGTCAGCTCTGGCTACTGTGTGGGCTGGAGGGCTGGGCAGCGGAGGCTAAGTGAGAGGAAGTCTCCAGGTGGGCAGGACTGGGGACAGGCGGGAAGGGGCATGTGCACGAGGGGGCAGCAAGAGGAGGATGTGTGCCCGGGCAGGGGCCCCTCCATCCTGAAGCCAGAGTGTGCAGTGGCCGCTGGGGGCTTGTAGGGACCCAGACAGGGTCCCAGCAGGTGCAGGTGCCCAGCCCCTCAGGTGCGCCCCTAACCATCTCAGTGCCGTCCTGAAGGTGCCGGCGTGTCCGGTGCTGCTGCCCTGTTCACCTCATCTGCTTCAGCCTCTCCTCCGAGCGTCCCGGGCAGCCTCCAGGCTGGAGTCCCCACACAGCATCCACTCCTGTCCCTGAAGTGCCCTTCACACGCCCCCTTGCTGGCTGGCTGAGAGCCCCTCGTCCTGAGGACCCAGCCCCCACACTAGCCCTTCCTGTTCCCACCTCCCCCCACCCAAACCCAGGATGGTGACCACATGCACTGGTGACAGCTGCCAAGTCTGGCATCACATCTACTCACTGCCCCTTAAGCACCTAGTAGGCAGATACACCTCTTCCAGGAAGCCTTCCGAGACCTGCCACAGGCCTGCTGAACACCTGTGTCCTCCACTCCCACAGGCCTTAGTGAGAGCTGGGCCTCTGGACCCCACTGGCCCCTGATGGAGGCCAGTTACGGTCCTGGGTCTCCCTGTGAAGGGGCTCTGGGCTCCATGTAGGCTTGTGAGCTCAGTGACTGAGCTGACTCCACTGCCAGTGCTCAGCCCTGGGCTGGTGCCCTGGGGTCTGGGCAACAATGTCTGCAGATAAACAGCTTCCACCGCTGAAGGAAGGGGCTAGTGGATGCCAGGTCAACTAGTAAGCACTGTGGCCCCCAGCCCAGCAGTGAGGAAGCGAGGGCAGCCTGCTGGCACTGAGTGGGCTGGACCAGTGATTCCATGGTGTCCTCCCGAGTAAGTGCTCTTCGCGGGACCTAAAGTCGTCATCCAGATGTTGGCGGAAGAGGTGGCTCCAATGCCCAGCACCGCCTGGTCCACACAGAAAAGCAGGAAGGTCTCTGCAGCAGCGTTTTTTTCTTTATTCTGGGGGGGTCAGGGAAGGCACGGTGTTACTATGGTCAGGTGTGTTTCATTTATTACCTTTTGGTGGGACCAAACCTGGCAGTGCTCAGGCCTATTTCTGGCTCTGTGCTCAGCAGTGACTCTGGGTGTGTTCAAGGACTGAGTGTGGAGCTGGGAATTTGAACTGGGGTCAGCAGCATGCAGGCAAGGGCTTTAACCCCAGCCCCCCTATTTCTCTGATCTTCGTTGTCAGCTTTTTGGTTTTTTTTTTGTTTGTTTTGTTTTTGTGTGGGGGTTGGGGCACACCTGTTGATGCTCAGGGCTTGCTCCTGGCTCTTTGTTCAGGAATCACTCCTCCTCGTGGTCTCAGGGGACATTATGCGACGTCAGGGATCAAACCCAGGTAGGCCACATGCAAGGCAAGTACTGTACTATTATTGCTCAGGGGTTACTCCTGGCTTTGCACTCAGGAATTAATCCTGGTGGTGCTCCAAGGGACCATATGGGATGCCAGGTATCGAACCCAGGTCGACTGTGTGCAAGGCAAACGCTCTACCCGCTGTGCTATCGCTCCGGCCCCCTGTCCGTTTTTAATTCAACATCCACCCCTTCTCTTGGTTTGTGGCAGGGAGAGGCCACATCTGGCCCAGTGGTCAGCAGCTGCTCCCAGCTAGGTGCTTGGGGCCATGGACTGACAGTGCTCAGGGCACCGTGTAAGGCAGCATTCAAACCCAGCCCTTCCACTGCAGAGCCTGCACTCAGCCTGTGGGGTTATTCCCACAGCCCTCCCCAGCTTCCAAGTTTCTTACACACCATAGCTTCCAACTCCCTTCCATCCTTTCTTCCTTCCCTCCCTTTCCATCCCTTCTCCTTCCTTCCTTCCCTTCCCTTCTTCCTTCTTTCCCTTCTCCCTCCTTTCTTCCTTTCCTTCTTTCCTGTCTCCTTCCTTCTTTCCTCCCTTCTTTCTCCCTTCCTCCCCTCCCTCCTTTTTTCCCGCCTTCCTTCTCTCCTTTGCAGTACTGAGGTTGGCTGCATGTAAAGCAAGTGTCTTGCCCACTATACAGTCTATACAAACACCCTGCTTTATTTTAAATCCACATGCATTTGTGAAGGGCCGGAGCAATAGCACAGCGGGTAGGGCATTTGCCTTGCACGCGGCCAACCAAGCCAACCTGGTTTCGATTCCTCCGTCCCTCTCGGAGATCCCGGCAAGCTCCCGAGAGTATTTCGGCCACACAGCAAAGCCTGACAAGCTACCCGTGACATATTCGATATGCCAAACACAGTAACAACAAGACTCACGATGGAGACGTTACTGGGCCCGCTCAAGCAAATCAATGAACAACGGGAGGCCAGTGCTACTGTGCATTTGTGAAAAATAGCATCAACTATTTTGAACTGTAGCTCAAAAGGCTGCAGACATACTCTGCGTGCTGGAGCCCCAAGTTTCATCCTCAGCGCTGCATGGTCCCTCAGGCATGACCAAGTATGGCCCAAAAACCAAAGTATAAAAGTTTCAGATTATGGGATTTTTGACCATGTTGCACAGGGTCATATTAGGCCTGATTGTGCCCAAGCATTACCATTGAAAGCTTCTAGTTCCCTTTTACTGTACAGTGTGCACTCACGGTGGCTGGTTTGCTGGTTTTTCTTCTTTTTATTTTAGTTTCGGGGCTCAGGGCTTATCGCTGACTTTCTGCTAAGGAATCACTCCTGGCGGGACTCAGGGAGACACACGAGGTGCCAAGGACTGAACATAGGTCAACCATGTGTGCAAGGCAAACGCCCAATCCACTGTCCTGTAACTCGGAACCCTCATTTCCGAGTCTTATAGGAAAAAAAAAAAAAAGGAAAATAGTTCCTGGGGGATAAGGTCTCGCTCTGTTCTCAGGCTCCAGTCTGGAGCAAGCGAGGAAGAGAAGTGAGGAGCTGAGATAAGCGAGGCGCTACCGCCACCTAGTGGTGAAAGTGGAAATGGCGGTGGGTCTCCGTGGAAGGGCCTCCCACACGGGCATCCCAAACACAGCCCCCGTGGGCGCTCCAAAACCCCAGCCCGTCAACCAGCTTCAGGTGCTTCAAGGACAGGTCTCGCTGAGAGCTGACAGTCCAGAGCACGAGTCCCTCTGATCTGCCACTAGCTCGGTGTGACCCTAGGTCTGGGCCCCTCTAGGTTCGCACCCCACCACTCCCCAATGCCTGCCACACTATCTTCTCAACCAGGAGCAGCCATGGTTAGGGTCTTCTGATTTTTTTTTTTTTTTGCCACACCTGGCGATGCTCAGAGGTTGCTCCTGGCTCCGCACTCAAGACTATCATTCCTGGTGGTGCTTGGGGGACCATGTGAGATGCCAGGGATGGAACCAGGCTTAGCTGCGTGCAAGGCAGGGGCCCTACCAGCTGCACTGTCTCTCTGACCCCAGCTGGGTTCTCATGAAATGTGCCCTCTGTGCCTCTCACCCACAGAAGGGCCCCGGGGAAGGGCCGTCTCCAGAGGCAGCTGGACGGACGGGTTCCTGACCACATTCACCCACTGCCTGCAAGCGGGTCACACCTGGCAGTGCTCAGGGGCTAATCCTGGCTCTGTGCTTGGGGGCCACAAGACCATGCAGTGTTGGGGATCAAGGTCAAGGCTCCTGCATACAAAGATGCTCAGCCCTTGGCAGTTCTGACCACTAGAAGGCTAGAGATTTTTCTCTTCTCCCCGGAGAATCAAAAGATTAAACAAGGATCAAAGCCAGGCCTTCATACACAGCTCTACCAAGCCACAGCCTTGGCCCAGCCGTGAGGAAGGTTGAGCCGGTGGCCATTCCAGAAACAGAATCAGTGTCACCTCTCGACAGGCAACCGTAGCTTCCCACTAGGGGTTCCCAGGAGCTGGTTTTTCCTCCCTCAGACTGGCCCAAGTCTCTCCTCACACCCCTAACTCTCTGACATGGGCTATCTGGGCCTCTAGGCCCAGGGCCAGCCTGCCCCCTCCCACAGGATCCCGAAGACCCAGGAGGAAGGGGTGCTCACGTCTGGGCATCTGGGGCCCATCCCCAGGGCCCCGCCCAGACCAAGGCGGGAGGCAGTGAGGCTCCAGGCATGCATAGAATAAATAGAACTTTATTCTCATCCAGTAGGTCTCGGGGAGGTGGGGGCTTTCCAACCGTAACAGGCGCACCCATGGGCTCTGGGGAGATGAGACCCCCAACCCCAGGGCACAGAGGGCAGGGCAGAGCAGCTCCCCCACCCGGGGGTGCAGAGAGAGGGGAGGAGACCCCCTGTAGGCCCGTCCTGCGGGGCAAGGAGGGGGTGCTGGTGGAGATGGGGGGGCAGGCCAGGGAAATGGAACTCAGGCCAAGTGTGTGCATGAGTGTGTATGAGTGTGTGCATGTGTGTGTATATACGCACATGCGCATGTGTGTGCATGCACGAGTGCAAGAGTGCATGAGTGTATGCACGTATATGTGTGCATGCTTGAGTATGCACACACGTGCACGTGTGTGTGTGTGTGTGTGTGTGTGTCTGTGTGTATGGTCTGTGGGGCGGTGCTGGTGGCTGAGGCTGGGGCGAGGGTAGAGGATTCTGTGGTCAGCCCCTGCACACACTGGGGGCTGCAGGGCAGAGATGACACAGGCCCCTCGGGGGTGCAACACTGCCAAGGACCGGGAGCAGGGTGTGTCGGGGGTTGCTGAGAAACAGCCTCTAGGCTGGGAAGGGCCCCCACCCCGCTTTGTCCCTGTCCTAGTCTCTGGGGGCCCCCTCCTTCTGGGGCTGCCTGAAACCATCCACACCCAGTGTGCTGGGGCAGAAGGACGCAGGCCTCAGAAAGTTAGTACTTCACAGTTTTAAAGAGGAACGCGAGGAGGGCAGGACTGGGGAGGGAGGGCTGGGGGCACAGGGAAGTGGGGAGCAGGGCAGGCCCCCTCCCAGGGACCCACCAGCTCCAGGCCCAGCTCCCCCCAGACACAGCACAGATTCCTTCAGTATAAATGTGCTTAAAATGAAAATTCTTATTTAAAAAAATCAAAACCAAAAAAAAAAAAATTAAAATAAAAACAAAACCGGCGAGAATTAATACCTGGGGTTGGTGTGGCAGGGTATGTACAGGGGAACCCCCCGCCCCTGGCCCACCCCTCTGTCACCAACCAAGGCAGGGGGCTCCAAACGGGGCAGGGGGGCAATGGCTTGCGAGTTCTGAGAACAGGGGAGCCAGGTCCTGGCATCTGCTGGTGATGAAGATGAGGCGAGATGGACAGTGAGGTGTCTTGATGAACGAGGCCCCCAGGCTCTACCCTGAGGCCCGGGGACTCGGGGGTCCTCACGCAGTTCACAGCCTGGCCCAGATGTCTGTGCCAACTGCAGCTGACTAGGTGCTCGGCCCCTGCCGCCTCCTCCATGCAGCCCCCCCAGGACGGAGGCAGACACCCGCCAGGAGGGCCGGGAGCCACGAGGTTGGTTGAAAGGCAGAGAGAAGCCGGGGCACGGGCGGCGTCCACAGCACGCGGTGGTCACGGAGAGTGAGTGGCCGGGCTGCTTCTGTTGGAACTGGGGCTGAGGCTGGGGCTACAGCTGCCGGGCGGCGGTGCCAGGCCGCCCCCGTCCCGCGTCCCACCCCCCTGCTGTCCACTCAGAGTGTCCAGCCCCTCGGAGTTCTCCAGCATCTCCTGGATGAGGGGCGGCATGGAGCCTGGGATCTCCATCTTCAGCGTGATCACCCGCTCGGCGCCTGTGGGGAAGGGATGTCAGTGCTCAACCCACCGGGAAGAGGACCCCCTCTAGTCCCATCACGTCCGTGTACCCCCCCCAGGGGAAACTGAGGCTGGGGCTGCTCGCGGACATGCCTCCTCTGCCCCCGCCCCGACTACTGACACCTCACGGCACCTAGGCGGGGTCTTTGGGGGTCAGTCCAAGGGTGCCCAATTGGGTGGGCCTGGCCCTGGGCACGCGCAGGGGACCCCTCACCCTTAGCACTGATGCTCCGCAGGTCTGTGATCTTCATCAGCATCTTGGGGAACATGTGGGGGCGGCTGGGCCTCCGTTTCCGCACGTAGACCTTGAGCGCCTCCAGCAGCGGCTCCTGCAGCATGTCCACGCGGTCGGGCTGCTCCAGGTCCTGCCGGTCTGAGCAAGCCACGCCCCCTCAGTTGCGCTCCCCAGCTGCGCCGCCAGGGGGCGCGCTTTGCCCAGCAGTGGGGAGCCTGGGGGCTCTTTCCCCAACTCCCTGCCAGACCCAGGATGGAGGTGGGGAGGGGTTGTTGGGGGGGTATGTGAGCTGCCAGACACCTTCCTTCAAAGCCTCTTCGAAGTCAGAGAAAAAAAAAGGGGGGGGGGAGGGGAGAGCCTGGAGTCCCCGGAGTCTTCCCATCCCTGATGGCAGCAGGGTGTTTCCGGGCAGGTCATCCACCCCATTACCATCCCCGGAATGGCACAGGACTGCTGACAGCCGACAGTGGGGAGGGCGCTTGCCTGGCTGGCCCGTGGCAGACCTGGGTTTGATTGCAAGCAAGCACCCATATGATCCCCCAATCACGGCCAGGAGTGATCCTTGAGTGCAGAGCCAGGAGTTAAGACCTGAGCACCACTGCTGGCCGGAATGTGCCTCATTACTGCCTCCCTCGTGCCCTGCAGAGCCATCAGCTGGACATCCCTGGCCCACTGCCCACTGCCCACTGCCCAGGGGCACACTAAGAAGCACCTGCCATGCTTCACCCCTCCAGCTCCCCTGGGGAACCCAGACTGCTCCTAAGGCAGATGTGGGGGGGGGGGGCTGCGACGCCCCTGGGTCCAGCCCAAGCCCCCGACCCACCTCCACAGATGAGGCAGATGGCGCTGAGCAACCCAGTCTCTGCATCGTCCATCTCCAGGGGCAGTAGCTGGTTGGCAAAGGCGAAGACCAGGTCTGTGAGGGGCCCGAAGCCGGCGTTGTGCATCTGGGTCCGGTTGAGGGTCAGCCCATCGGAGAAGGTCATGGTGTCCTGTTCGGGTGTGTACCGCGTGCAGATCCGCAGGATCTGGTGCAGAGGACAGGTGGGCTCAGAGTCACGGCCACTTGGCCACTCTGTCCAACAGCCCTGCCTTGCATGGTCCTGGGTCCCAGGGAGTCCATGGCAGGCTACCACCACTAGGTGGCGCCACACTCAGGGGCCGGGGCGGTAGGCTGTGCTTTGCAGGCAGGAGGCTGGTGTCTAGTGTCCAGCGCCCAGCACTCCATGGTCCCCCTGAGAATTGTCAAGACCAAGTGAGGGTCCCAACGTCACCCCTCCAAAAAAAAAATCTCAATAAATGTGCCTGGGCTTTAATCATGTGGGCACTGACCTGACCCTGTACAGTCTGACCCCAACACCCAAGCCGGCAGTTGGAGCACTCAGGGAGGACGGTAAACGCCTTCAGGCCTTGGCTTTGGTGGTCTCCGCCCTTCCCGGCCCTTGTCCTGCCGCCAGCCCCGCCTGTCTTCTCGCCCTGCACCCATCTGGCCTCAGACCAACACAACAGGGAAGCCTCTCCTGGCCTCTCCACGCCACTTCCCCCCCCACACACTTCCTCCAGGGAGTTCCCCCAACCCGGATGTCGGGCAGAGAGGGGGCCTGCCCTGCCCCCACCGCTCCCTCCAGGAGGCAGCACAGTTTTGCAACCTCCCTTCACATAGCTGCCAACAAACGGAGGAGGAGAGATGGGGGGGCACCTCTGGCCTGGCCACAGAGGATCTGAGGCACACCCTCCTCCAGGGAGGAGGGGCAGGAGAGAGGGCTCTGAAGGGAAGGACGCTGGGCAGTGTGGGGGGAGCTGCGCGGGCAGGCCGCGCTCTAGGAGAAGTGGAAGGCGGGCAGGGAGCGCCGGTGTCTGCGTGCTAAGAAAGGTCGTGACCTGAGTGGCAGGACAGGGCAACGCCAGGACACGGGTGGGAAGCCCAGGGCCAGGGCCCTCACCAGGATGTCCAGACAGGCCGCCTTGAGGAGGGTGATCTGGTCAGCGATGGTGAGGGTGGTGAAGCCCGGCAGCTGCTTGGCAAACTCCACGGTCTTGATGATGCACTTGGTGGAGAGTTCACTGAACTTGTCCCAGAGGTCGATGTCCAGAGAGACGCGCTGCTCGGAGCTGTTGTTCTGGGAGGACGGGGCAAAGTGAGGCCAGAGCCCGTGGGGAGAGGAGGACGCAGGGCCGCAGGGGTGGGAGAGGGACCTGGCGCCGCCGTACCGTAGTGTATTTGCCCAGCTGGCAGAGGGCAGGGAAGGTCTCCTGGTGTGCTTTGCGCACCTTCTCGATGAGCTCCCCCACCTCCGGCGTCAGCGTGGCGCTCTCGGAGCACTCGGGCTTCGGGGCCTCCTTCTTCTTTTTGTTCCGGTCATTCCTCACAGCTGGGGACAGAGCACCGGGTCACCGGGCAGCAGCGGCTGGCCAGCCCCGCCGGAGACCACCCTCCGACACTCACGGGTGTCTGGGAACCACCCTGGGAATTCCTGGGCCCAAGGCACACCCACACCAATGCACCAACACACGCACAATACATGGACCAACACATGCACCTACGTGCATGCCAACATACCCAACATACATTCATTACCCACGTGTGCACTGACACCAGTGCACACACCAACAGTACACACATGCACCAATACTCACAACACAAGCACCACCAACACACCGTTCACATATGCACCAATGCACGCTCACCAAAACACATGTTCACATGTGCCAACTGCCACCAACACAGGCACCCACCAACACAAACTCGCCGGGACCACCACCAACCCAACCTGGCATGTCACCAATTCACAGGCTAAGTCCCACCTCGGGTCCCAGGACACACATACAGACCCTCCCAGGCCTAGCCAGTCCCCCAGCCACTGCAGTCCAGCCCCCAGGATCTGGGTACCATCACCCCCATATTCTGTGTCCCTCCATTCCCAGGACGGCCCAGTTCCTGCCTCCACTGGCCCCAGCCCAGCCGGTTCGGGTTCTCCTGGGGATCTGGGCGCTGCTGCTCCTGGGGCGGGCAGAGCTCCCCAGCCCAAGAGCAGGAGGCCCGGGTGGGAGAATCTCTCGGCCCATTAGCCGGGGGAGCTGACAAATCGCCGGGGGCGCTGAGCCGCACACACGGCTCGGCTTTAAAGAAGCGATGGGGTCGTTACCAGCCGATTATCCCAGACACACAATCACTCACGGGGCCTGACGCGGAAGGAGAGGGAGAAGGGGGTGGGGGGTGGGGGCCTGGGGAGGGGGCCTGGGGGGGGGCGGCTGGCATAATTTGGAGATCACTCATGTCGATTCTGCAAATTCAATAAAGAGCACGGGAGAGAGGGAGAGGGAGAGGGATGGTGGGGGGATAATTTGGGAAGAGAAAATTGCAGCTGTGACAAGACGTTTATCATTCGGAAGCTTTAATTCTATTGAAATGGCAGCTGCTCAGCTGGGGCACAGAGAGAGCCAGAGGAGAAGGGGGGAGGGAAGGAACAGGGAGGGGGAGCTGGGGGGGGGAACGGGTCCCCACCCCAACCCCAACCCATCCTGGGTTGCACAGCTCTGGGAGCTGAAGGTGGCAGCTGAGGAGATGTGACGGGCCCTGACGGGGGAGGTCCCAGCTCTCACCCTCTTCCCACAGCTCAGAGCTGGCACTTCCGGGGCCAGGCAGCGAAGGGCGGGGGGTAGGAAGGTGCTGTGGAACCGCCCCCCTCCTGTCTGGGGTCCCTCGAGTCCTCCCTGCGTCCCCACCCCACTTCCCTCCTCCACTGCCCTCCCCACAAAGGGCTTGGGGGTCCCGCAGCCCCTCCCCCACCCCATCCCCCCAGGCTCCGGCTCCATGGCAACGGCCACGCAGACAAGGAGGCGTCTGTCAGCGTCATTTATCTCTGACATCATCAATCACCGGTCACCATGGCAACACCCATGATTCAACACAAGAGGGTCTTGCTGTCCAGCCCCGCTGCCCGCCTCCATCAGGCCTCAGCTGAGCCCCAACTGGAACCCCGTCCCTCGGGGGTCTGACGGGTCCTTCCTGTCCCCGGCTCCCCACACAATAGTTTCCCAGCCCTGGGCCAGCGACTCCCTGCACCAATGTCCCAGAGCCCCCTCTGGGGGACACCCCAAAAGAGGCACCATCAGGAGGCCCTCAGGAGGCCTCTGAGAGCCTCGCAGGGCTGGGCGGCTTAGAGCAGACACGCAGACAGGCCTGGGCACAGGGAAGCTGGACTCAGACAGAAGGACAGAAACAGACAGGCGACAGGCCCGTGACCACACGGCACCAAGCCTCCCCATGGACGCACCCCTGGCCCGGCCCTGCTCCCGGCGCTGCACTCACACTCCTTGGACATGCCCACTTCGAAGCACTTCTGCAGCCGGCAGTACTGACAGCGGTTGCGGGTCACCTTGTTGATGACGCAGTTCTTGTCCCGGTGGCACGTGTATACCATATTCTTCTGGATGCTGCGGCGGAAGAAGCCCTGGGGTGGAGGGCAGGAGTCAGGGCATCACCCCAGCCCCTCCTCAGCTCCCTCACAAGCTGCCTTCCCCTCCCCCGGAAAGCACTGCCCAGGGAGCAGGAGTTAGACAGGACAGTGGCCCTCTGGGATAGGACCCAGCAACCAAGCACAGGAACAGGAGGCCTAGGAGGGGGCTGGGGGACCAGCGAGCTGGTGCCCGACCCATGTGCAAGCATGCAACTATGTGCTAAGGAGAATAAGTCTTCATCCAGGCACCGGCATGCTCACTGATCTGCGTGTACTATGATCTGCATGTACACTAATCCAAGTGTGCTCTAATCTGTGTGTACAATAATCTCCATGTACAATCATCTGCATGTACAATGATCCGCGCGTACAATGATCTGCATGTACTCCAATCTATATGTACAATGATCTGCGTGTACTCTGATCTGAATGTACAATGGTCCGTGGATATAACAATCCATGTGTACTGTGATCTGTGCCTACAAGGAGTCGCATGTACAATGATCCACGTGTATTCCAATCTGCATGAACAATAATCCATGTGTACAATGATCCATGGATGCAACAATTTGTGTGTACTCTGCACATACAATGATCTGTATGTACAATGATCTGTGTGTACTCCAATTTGCATGCACAATGACCCACATGTACAGCAATCTGTGGATACGATCTTTGTGTACCCTGATCTGCACATACAATGGTCCGCATGTACAAAGATCTGCGTGTACTCCAATCTCCATGTTCAATGATCTGAGTTGTACATGCCAAAGAGGCATGTACAACAATCCATTTGTACTGTGATCGGCATGTACAGTGATCCACATGTACAATGATCTGGGGCTGTAGCAATAGCACCGTGGGTAGGGCGTTTGCCTTGCATACAGCTGACCGGGATTCTATTCCCAGCATCCCATATGGTCCCCCAGCACCACCAGGAGTAATCCCTGAGAGCAAAGCCAGTTGTAACCCCTGTGCATTGCCGGGTGTGACCCAAAAAAGCAATAAAGACCCACAAAAACAAAAAACACATGTACAATGATCTGCATGCACTCCGATCAGTGTACTTTTTGTTATTTGGAGGCCACACCCAGCTGTGATCACAGTTTACTTCTGGCAGGCTAAGGAACCGTCTGGGCTGCCGGGGACTGAACACAGGTGGGCTGCGTGCAAGCAAGCACCCTCCCTGCTGTTTTATCACTCCAGCCCATCTGCATATACACTGATCCCAGACAAACCAGGCTGGGCAGTGGCTCTGCAGACCGAACAGAAACAGGCCACCAGACTGATCAGGAACCAACGGGGAACACCCAGGGCAGGCAGACACTCTCGGGTGATACTCCACACCTGGGCACAGCCACTCAAGTCACCAAGCCGAGCACACTCAGCGCCCTGCTGGAGGGCAAGCCGCAGGAAGAGCAGTTCTGGGGAGCAGTGAGAAGCCCGCCTAGAGCAGAGCATCTGGGAGGGGTGCTGAGAGCCCCGGAGCCCAGTGGGGCCCAGGGAAACCCAGCCAGACGCTGGGGAGCCATTGCCTACACCTGAAGGGAGGCCGAGGCAGGGCGCCAGGCTGCCGTGGCAAGGTTCAGGCAGGGCCGCCGGGGGCAGGCCTCCTGGGTCCCAGGCCAAGAGCTGCTCGCCAGCTCACCATGGTAACCCAGGCAGCGGTGGCAGCACGGGTGCACGCCCTGCCAGCTGGAGGATGGAGATGGGGACAGCATCTCTGCAGGAGGGACCTGGGGCTTCGGGAACCCCTGCCCATCTGGGGGCCTACTGCAGGCGTCCCCTCTCCTGGAAGGCTGCTGCCACTCCCTGCAGAGAAGCAAGAGCAGGTCCACTTCCGGAAACCCTCCACCCTGCCAAGTGCCCAGGATGTGGCAGGAACACGACCCTTCCCAGGAACCCCATCCAACTCACCTTGCAGCCCTCGCAGGCGCTGACCCCATAGTGGTAGCCGGAGGACTTGTCCTGACAGACAAAGCAAGGCTTGTAGATGCGGGGGAGGGGCGGTGGCGAGGGGGGGCTGGGCACAATCTCCTCGGAGCTGCTGCTCTGGGTCTCGATGGCTGCAGGAAAAAGAGGGGCAGGGTGGTCAGGAGCCCCCTCGGTCCTCAGGGACAACCCCCCACACCTCACCCCTGCAACCCTCCACAGGCGCCCAACCTGCAGGGGCAGTATCAAGGAAGCTGGGGTTTCCCAGCCAGACCCGGGCCATGAGGCTGCCAACCAAACCTCCGCACCCCATCATGCCCCACTACTTCCCCGGGACCCCACCTTCAAAACCAGTAAGACCAGATTATAAACCTCAAGATTCCTCTGTGAACAAGCTACACCTGGGGGAGGGAGTGTGAGTGTGAGTGTGAGTGTATACATCTGGGGGCAGGAGTGTGGGTGTATATGGGAGTGTGTGTGCACACCTGGGGGCAGGAGTATGTGTGCACAAGTGGGCAGGTATATGTGTGTGTGCATGCACACCTGGGGGTAGGGGAGAGAGAGAGAGAGAAAGAGAGAGAGAGAGAGAGGGAGTGGTGTGTGTGTGTGTGTGTAAGTTTTCCCAGACTCCCCAGGTTAGGAAGGAGTTAAGACCCAATGTGGACAGAGGGAAAAGGACAGGAGCTGGGGACAGAGGAAACTGGGGTCAACAGGATATTCACAGCCAGCCGGCCACTCCCCCCACCCTTCCACTTCCGCTCCCCCCACCCCCTCTGCAGCCACAGCCCCTCCCTCCTGAACAGGGCCCCCCAGCCAGGGACCTGCAGGAGGGCCTGGGGCCCCCGTGCAGCAGAGCAGGGGCAGGGCCTCCCAGAGGTAAGTAGGGACCCCCGGACACAGGAAGCGGTGTCCCCAGGGCCCCCCCTCACCGCCCTGACCCCCCCCCCCCCGGAAGCCCACAGCTGGGGTGCCATGTCTGGGGAAGCGGCATGACAAAGGGGTTCTGTTCCCATCAATGGTCTGTCTGTCTGGCCTCAATACTGTCAGGGTGCTCCCCCTCTCCTGTTCTTCAGCGGCAAGAGGGCAGCCAGGAGGGGTGACCCAGCCAGCAGGGGCAGCGCCCAGAGCCCCAGGCACAAGAGGGCCGTGCTAGGCGTGGAGGGGACAGTCTGCCCACAGCCCGGGCAGCAGGGGAAGCCGATTGTGCCCGGGGCCCCTGGCAGGCACCTGTCCCAGACCAAGAAGGGCCAAGGGGGCCTCCCTGTCACTCCAAATCCAACACTGGGGGAGGGTCTGCGAGTGGTGAGGTCACACACAGCTCGCGCCCCAGCAGAATTCAACTCTGGCACTGCAAAGTCCCCTGAACACCACACTGAACCCCCAGGCCAGCACAGAGCCAGGACTGACACCCCCCATCAAGTCCCCCACAAGTCCAGGGTCAGGGGTGTGGGGGGACAGGGGTGCAGTGGGGGGCTCGGGATGGCGCAGGGAGGCCTCACAGCTCCCCAGCACCAAGCCTGAACACTCACTTCCCTGGCCAGCTGTGCACCCCCATTCCTTGTGCAAAGCAGTGGGAAGAGTGGGGGGCCCAACCCCACACCCCAACACCCAGCACGCTGCCCTGTCCAGGCGGGACCCCCCACCCCACTCCAGGGACAGACAAGGTAGGGAGAAAGGCCTGGTGGAAACTGCTGCTGGGGGGCGGGCTTGGGGGGGGCCAGGGTGAGGCCAGGAGGCAGAGGGGCCAGCCACAAAGGAACCCTTTGTTGTGCTAACTTTTTCCAAGACGTAAAAAGGAGTAACAATAGACAATCCAGACTGGTGGGGGGGGTGTCAAGGACAAGGGGGGGTGTGTGGGAGGGGGGTGCCCTGGTCTCCAACCCCCAGAGAAGATTGGCTTCCCCCCTCTATCCCTGCCCTACACTTAGGGTGAGCCCCAAGGGAGGCAGAGGGGTCTGGGGAGCTTGTGGGTGCAGAGAGGGGCCCAGGAAGAAGGGCTGTACAGGCCCAGGACCCGGATCCTAGAAAACTGAGTTCCAGCCTAGGCGGACTCTGAAGGTGGGGGCTGCAGGCCGGGAGGGGGCATCCTCTCTCCAGCGCACCCCAAAAGAGGCTTCAGCAAGCCCCCCACACCACACCGCGGACATCAGGCACATCCCCACCAGAAACACTGCTAAATGTCAGCCCAGTCTGCCCCCTCTGACCCCAGCTCTTCGAGGGCCAGGTACAGCCCGCCCCCTCCCCCAAACCGCAACGGCCAGTCGGCTGCGGGCATCACACTTTTCTCCACTCAAAGTTCCTGCGCCACGCACCACACCACTGGAAGCGGCCCAGGAAGCCGGGGTCCCCTCCCCCTTCCCGCTGGGCCGCCCACGGGCTGCCGCGCGCCGGATTCCCCACGCCCCGGAGCCCCCGAGAGCAAAGAGGCCGGTTCCTGGAGGGGATCAGCAGGAAGTCAGCCCGGCGGCCCGGGGCTCCCCTCCCAGCCCAGCTGCTGCAGCCGCTGCCCGCACCCCCGGAGGAGGGACGGCCCGGGCGGGGGTGAGGGGGTCCTCCCAGAGCCCTTCCTCCCCGCCCCTGCGCGCGCGGGGGGGGGGGGGGGGAGGGGTTGCCCCGGCTGCTGCGCCGCGGAAGGCCCCCCTCCCCGTGTGCTCCCCCCCACCCCCCGCGCTGCGATAGTATCTCCCCTTCCCCCCACTACGGGCATCCACGTGCTTCACATTCTTGGACGTCTGGGAGCGGGCGGAGGCGGAGCTGCGGAGATTGGTGGGGGACAGATGGGGAGCCACATCCTGTGTACCCCTTGTCCTCTAGTGCAACGGGGGGAGGGCAGAGGGGCCGAGGGCACCCCGCAGGGCCCACCACGCGCCTCTCCCCTCCGCCCGCTGCACTCCTGGGGGCAGGGGCAAAGAACTGGAGTGAGGGGGCTGGAGAGCTCTAAGGCCCCCGAGGCCCCTGGTAGCCCCGGAGAGGCTCCGTCCAAGGGTCTCCCTGCGATCACCCCAGGTGGTCTTAATCACCACCCCGGGCTCTGGGTCCTTCCTGCGCCGGGGAAACAAGCCCCCTCCAGCCCGTCCCCAGGCTCCGGACACTGGGGATGCACACAGGCCTGCCTGGGGCCGGGCGCCCGGCCTCAGCGCCCCCGGCCCAGGCAGGCCTCCACGTCCAGCCCCGGGGCTCGGCCTCGGCGTCCGGTCCGGCCCCAGGAGCTGGGCGGCCCGGCGGGGAGGACGCAGCGTCAGGCCGGAGTTGGGAGGCTTCCCCGCGTCCTCGGAAACCCGCTAGGCGCGTGGGAGGGGTCGGGAGGCCCGAGGAGGGTCCCCGGCACACCTCTCACCTCTCCCGCAGCCAAAGTCAACGGCGCGCACGCCCCCTCCTCCCGCTGCTGCGTCAGCAGCTCCCGGCGGGGCGCAGGGCCGGGCCGGGCCAAAGGTCAGGGGGCAGGACAATAGGGGAGGCTGGGGTGGAGGTGGCGCCCGGAGCCGCGGGGCGGTCTCCACCTCCGCCTCTCTTCCTGCAGCCCCGGCGGGGGGCTCCCGCCGCGCACCTCCGCCCGAGATGCCAAGCCCCCGGAGACCCACTGCAGCCGCCTTCGGGGCGCGGGGACGAGCTGCGCCCGAGCGAGCGCCGGAGAAAGAAACCCGAGCCCGGGAACAATAACCCCCGAGCGCCCTCTCGTACCCCGGCGCCCCGCGGGGGCGGGGCAGGCCCAGGTGCGCACCCCGGCACCCGGGCGCACGCAGCTGCGCGCGCGTAGGGGCCAGCACCCAGACGGGGGCGTGGGCCGGGGAGGCCCGGCTCCAGGGTGCCCCTCGGCGCCCCGGCCGCCACCCCCAGGAGCAAACAGGGTAACAAAAGGACGCGCTGGTTTCCAAAGTGGGCCGGCACCCAACAAACCCAACTCAACCCCCGGAGAATCAACGGATTAGGGTGTGGGGAACGGGGGGGGGGTGGGGGGAGGTCCTCCCGGACGGGCCGCACCTCCGCTCCTGGGGCTTCAAAGAAAGGTACTGGCCAAGTGGCATCCGAGATTCCCGCGACCCTCGGACAGCCGAGGGCAATGGCAGGGCAGCCCAGAGGGCAGGGGGTGCCTGGCTAAGGTGTCCCCCGCCTGCCACACCCCGCTGCCAACACGAAGGTTGCTCCCCTGCCATCCCCTCTGATGACTGAAGAGCAGAAGCTGGGGGTCGCGGCAGGGGCCCAGAGGGGGCCCTCCCCCAGGCTGGGCAGGGGTGGAAGCTGGGCAGAGGCCCCTCCTCCTGGAAAGCCTCAGATCGGAAGGACCGGCACCCCACGTTCCAGAGCCCCCAAAGGTCCCCTCCACATGCAGCTTTGGACTGCAAACAAGGTACCAACTGGGGGCAGGGGGCTCGTGTCCCCTGTGGGCATGATGAACGACTACTTCCTGGAGGGAGGAGACCCCCCCCAAGTTCCTGGGCCCTAGCAAACAGGCGGGGTGGAATACCCAAGGGGCCAAGTGTCCAATAAAAGGCACCTCCTTAGAGCGAGACACGAGGGTAAGCGAGGACAGAGCCGAGACACCCCCCTCCCACGCCCCAGGCCGCACCCCAGGGGCGGAAGCCCCCCCACCCGCAGCGGCCGCGCGCCCACAATAGGAGACGGGGCCGGTACCTACAGTGGTTGGAGCCATTCCAAAGCGAAGTCCGGAGCGGGGCGGAGTAGGGGCCGGGCGCCGGGAGCCCCTTCTCTGGGAGCAAACAGGCCCGGTTCTGGTTATAAAAATCCACCACCAGGAACGGGCTGGGGCTGGGGGCGAGCCCCCCCACTTCCACGCTCTCGTACATCGTCCCCGCGCTGCCCAGAGGTCCGGGCGGGGAAGTCGCGCGCGCCGCCGCCGCCTCCCTCACTCGGCCGGCGGCGCCATCCGGGAGGGCGGCTGGGGGTGCGGGCACGGGCCCCCCCACGCCGCCCGCCGCCCCGAGGTCCCGTGTCCAAGTTGCCGCCGCTCCTCCGCCGGTCCCGGGTGGAAAGCGGGGAAGTTGCGTGCGCGGGCCGGGGGGCCCTCCACTGCGCCCCCGGAAAGCACGGCGGGGCACGGGGCTCGGAGGCTTCACCTCGAGGGGGCTCCCGGCTCGAGACTCATGCTGGTGTCCGAGGCGCCGTCCCGAGGCTC